TTTTCTTTAAGATTTTATTTATTTGTCAGAGAGAGAGAGCACGCAGAAGCAGGGAAAGCAGCAGGCAGGGGGAGAAGCAGGCTCCCTGCTGAGTAAGGAGCTCAACTTGGGGCTCGATCCCAGAACCCTGGGATCATGACCTGAGCTGAAGGCAGATGCTTAACCTACTGAGCCACTCAGGCACCCCAAATAAAATCTTTTAAAAAGAGAAAAAAGAAAGAAACAAGAAAACTTGAGATGTGACAGTGGGTCTTGCTAACATCTAGGGAACACTGTTTCCATAATGAACCTGGATCCCTTCAAAGGTTCTGGACAAAATGGAGCCTCACAGTGAGGTTTGGTTGGAGGGCTTTGATCAGAAGTAGAAACTGGGTTAAACGTTTTCTTCCCTGGGCGCCTGGGTGGCTCAGATGGTTAAGCGTCTGCCTCCAGCTCAGGTCATGGTCTCCAGGTCCTGGGATCGAGCCCCACATTGGGCTCCCAGCTCAGCGGGGAGTCTGCTTCTCCCTCTCCCTCTGCCTCTCCCTCTGCTTGTACTCTTTCTGTCTCTCTCTCACTCTCAAATAAATAAATAAATCTTTTTTTTTTTTAAGTTTTCTTCCCTTTTTTTTATTTTCTTCTCTCTCATCCATGTCCTATGCCCGAAGCAGTAAGCTAGGACCTGGGTACATGCCATTTGAAAGTACCCTTGCCCTTAGGAAGCCAAGAAGAAATCCCAGTGAATCCAGGAGGAAAGGAGAAGCCTTTGACAAATTCAGTCCTCTGGGTTCATACATGGTCCAGTTCACCAAGAGAGACTTCACCTGCTACAGAGCCGTGAAGACTATGCACTTGCGTGAATGTCCTCAGACATCCAGCCACAGAGCTATGTGGGAGTTGGTTTAGGTTCCTGGTCAGACAGTTTGGTTCTTCACTTTTCCATATTTTGCAGGGACTTTAACAGCAGAGTCAGAACCAGCCCCAGAAACAGAATAGTTTCTGGGTAAACGGGGGCCTATGACACAGGATTAATACGCATCTGCGACAGGAGCTCAGAGTTACAACCTGCGTGCCCAGGCTGGTCCCCTGCACCTAGGGGTGGGGGTGGCAGGTGGTGAGTGGTGAGGAAGTCTAAGAAAGAACCCAAGCAGCTCTCATGTCATTCTCAGCTTCTTCCTATCTAGTAATCCTCGTTTGTAGGGAAGACTGCTTCATTTTTGGTTTGGTTTGGTTTGGTTTGGTTTTTTTCATTTAGCCACAGGTATCGCTCTAGTAAAGGAAAGTAGAATTATTCTCTAAAGTCAGTGTCATTCTCAGAATCTCTCCTGCCTGAGAAAGGCTTCTTGTGCCTGGGGTGCCTAAAGGTTAAGAACATGTACATTCACAAATTTGGATAAGAATTTGAATGATGCCAGCTTGCTGGCCGATGGTTTTTCCAAGTTCAGCAATTTTCCTCGTCTTCAGTGTCCTAATCAGTAGATAGAAAATAAGGGCTCAAAAATAATCTCAAGAACAGTTGTCATAGATTCTTGCTCTTAAAAGATGAAGTTAAAGACCCCCCTTCGTGCATGCCTCCGTGCCTTCTGGAGCCTCCCCATCAGGCAGTCAGCCTGTGCCCAAACCCTGCTCAGTGCCCACCCAATGCTATGCATCTGTTTGCCCGATTTGTTGGCTGGTAGGTTTTTAACATTCTCCGTTTTGAACAGCTATAAATTCTTGTTTCTACTAAGCCAAAATTTTCCTGGCTGTTATGCCAACATATTTTTTGCCCTAGCTCCAACATGAGAAACACAGAGAGTAAATGTCTCATTTTTTCCTCATCTTCGAGTATCTGCAGACAGCTATCAGACTCCTTCAGTTTTCCTTTCTCGCTGGCTTGCTTCAAACATGCCAACAAAGACATAACTTCGAGTCCCCTCAGTCTCCCGAGTCCTTCCTTTTACGCTGCCTTCGCTTTCCAGTGGTCTTCTCGAAATCTGTTTTGCCAACCTTAACAAACTCCTCCTAAGGCAGATTGACCATGACAAGATGGGGCTGAGGCTGCCAGCTTTGTTTTCATTACCATAAAATCATTTTAAATGTTCATGAAGAATGGCTCTAAACCATCAAAATAACAGTTCTGGAACCCAACTGTTTGATAATGATCCGTTGGCAAGACTTTCAACTTAGGCTTTATTTTATCTTCTGCAACTACATTTTATCCCACGCCCCCTCCCATGTCCTCCCAGGGAGGGGAAAAAGGCAAAAATATTGTCAGGCATAATCTTACATGAATGGGCGGAAGTTCTAGAATTGTTGCCCTTCCCTCCAGCCCCCACATTTTTGCTGGGTGTTGAAAAAACTTTACTGTTGCAACCAAAACAAATTTCCTTTCCAATTCCTTGACCAAGTTCACTTACCACCTCTCCCAGTGATACACAGTATTGTTTTGTGAAGTGGCTACAAATTCAGTCTATTCTGCAAGTCCCTTGATTTCTGTTCCTTCTTTAGAATAGCCTTCCTTCTCCTTTTTAATTTTTTTTTTTTTTAAGATTGATTGATTGATTTTAGAGAGCAAGGGAGAGAGCATGAGAGCATGCAAGTGGGGACGGGGCAAAGGGAGAGAATCTCAAGCAGACTCCCCACTGAGAGCAAAGCCTGATGCGAGCCTCCATCTCAGGACCTATAAGATCACGAGCTGAGCCGAATCCAACAGTCTGACGCTTAACCGACTGAGCCACCAAGGCGCCCAGGCCTTCTCTCTCCTTAACAAAGGAAACGTCTTAGTATAAATTAAAGTAAGACACCAGTGGCTGCCCATTCAGTTTCCACCCGAAATTGGGTATTCCCCTTGGACTTCTGTAAATGTCATTGACAATACGTGACTGAGAAGCAGGACGTCTTCAGTGCCAAGTAATGATGAGATAGAAAACCGGTATGTTATGGTAGGCTGCACAGAGTTATACTGGGTGCCCCTGACGTTTCGGAATTTAAACCATGGGTGGTACCTACTTATGAGAGGTCGTGTTATCAGTGAGGTGCCCTGTTGTGACTCCTGCTGCCAAAATCAATTCTTCAGGAGACATAACACTGTCAGAAGACATTTAAAAAGATGAAAGCTTTAGTGTTGACCATTTATTTATGTGAATGAAAATATCCAAAAATAAATTGGGAAAATTCAGGTCTCTAGCAGCTGTGTAGTCATATGCCCTACAAAAATAAAGTTACACAAGTCCTGTGCCATCGAGGTTTTCAAACTCAGTACCCGCATTCCTTCTGCTAAAAAATTACTTGAAAAATCCCTTTTCAAGGAAATACTGATTTGGGGTTTTCTCTTTGCTATGACCAAGGTTTTGAAACATTACGTTATTGATGGTGGTGATTCTCCCAGACTCTGGGTAAAATTTGAAAAGAAGTGAGATAAAGACCTAGACTGTGTTGGGGTGCCTGGCTGGCTCAGTTGGTAGAACACGTGAGTCTTGATCGCGACTCTTTATCTCAGTGTCATGAGTCCGAACCCCATGTTTGGCATAGAGCTTACATTTAAAAAGAATGAAAAAAGTAAAAAGGCCTAGACCATATCCTTATTCAAAAGTAAATAGGTAGCTTATTTAAAAGAGAGAAGTAAGAGGAATATAATGCTCTATAGTATTCCATTTTTCACCACTCTTGGCCAGATATGGGGATAATAATGGTATCTGAGGGCTAGACACAGGGGGGCCCCCAACTCAAACACCTTCAGAAAGCAGGTGTCTAACAATGTGTGAACTCCATACAGATTTAATATTTTTAAAAATATGAAGCCCACAAAACAAAACAAGTTTTTTTAAAAAGATTTTATTTATTTATTTGAGAGTGCCTGTGTATGGGAATAAGCAGGGGGGAGGGGCAGAGGGATAAGTAGGCTTCCCACTGAGCAGGGAGCTGGTTGTGGGGCTTGGATGTAGGGCTCGGATGTAGAGCTCAATCCCAGGACCCTAAGATCATGACCTGAGCCGAAGGCAGACACTTAACCAACTGAGCCCCCCAGGTGCCCCTAAACAAAGCAAGTATTTATTTATTTATATTTTTTAAAGTTATTTAGGTAATCTCTACTCCCAACGTGGGGCTTGAACTCATGACCCCAAGACCAAGAGTGGCTTGCTCTTCTGACTGAGCCAGCCAGGCGCCCCCAAAACAAGTTTTTTTTTAGTTTTTAGTTTTTTTAGTTTTATTTATTTAATTTTTTAGAGAGAGAGAGAGGCAGAGGGAGAGGGAGAGGGAGGGGGAGACTCTTAAGCAGGCCCTCTGAGATCATGACCTGAGCCAAAATCAAGAGTCGGACACTTAACAGACTGAGCCACCCAGGCTCTCCTCTGCCAAAACAAGTTTTTAAATCTCTGCTTAAAATCTTCTCACACTTTTTTTTTTAAGATTTTATTTATTTATTTGAGAGAGAGAGATAGCGAGAGAGAGCACAAGCTGGGAGGAGAGGGAGAAGCGGGCTCCCTGTTGAGCAGGGAGCCCGATGCGGGGCTCGATCCCAGGACCCTGAGATCATGACCTGAACCGAAGGCAGACACTTAACTGACTGAGCCACCCCAGAGGCCCCACTTCTCACACTTTTCATGAAGTAACACAAACAAGTCCTCTTCTGTTCTACCTCCCCCTCCACTGTGTGCTGGATTTAGTCCTGAACTGGCAACAATCAATAATCAAATCATGAATATGCTTTATGTGCCAGATCCTGAGTAAGCCTCTTTTTGAGGATTTCCTTATGTGATGATTGCAGCCACCCGAAGAGTTAGTGCCATTCCTATACCATTTTACAGGCGAGAAAGCTGAGGTTTTGAGGTAGGAGGTGATATGTCTAAGATTCCAGAACCAGGAAGAGGTGGGACTGGGATCAGATAACGGGCATTGTGATTCCAGAGCCCATGGACCACTTTATTGCTGAGTATTTCAATTATACCTGTGTGTTCATTAGCTCAAAGTCTCGTAAACAAATTAAGCCTGCAAGTTTCTCCCTGACCCAAAGCTAATCATTCACTGTTTTCTCCAAGCAATCCACAGAGCCATACGGATTGTACGACTCCGGACACGAATTTCTGGGTGAAGCATTGAAACAACGGAGACGTAAGTAGGTGTTGACTTTGCAAATACGTGCTGTGTCCTCTTCAACTGTTCAAGTGGAACCTGGGGTTTAGACTTGCAGTCAGCCTGCAGGTGCCTTTTTATGAAAAGACCTGGACCCCAACAGAATGAAAATAGGTATCATTTCATTTCCACGTAATTCAATTGTTGTTTGTTTTGTTTTTTTTTTTTCACATAAAGGAAGAACTTTCTCCCAACCCCACTGCCTTTAAAAGTGAATAAAACATTTGTATCCCTAAAATTAGTTAGCTTTCCTATCTGAGGTTCATTTTAATGCCAACTCAATAAAAAAGTCATTGTGAAGGTTATATTCAGTTTAGCTAAGCTTCCTGAAAGCATCTATTAATTTCCCCGATGAAAGTCTATCAAAGATGTCTCCCTCATCTTTATTCTCACTCTCATGCCTAAGGCCCTTCCGTCTTTGGCTTCAGTCATGGTGACGTTCTCCCAAACCACTGCCAGACGATCTTTACAAACATTCTTACTTGCTGCAAACATTCTTACTTGCTCCCAACTGGCAACGGAATAAAATCCAAATACTAAACATGACATTCAAGGGCTTCATTACCAGAACACTCCCCTTTTTTTGTTGTCTTTTTTGAGCCAAACCAAAATACTTCCATCTTCCTCGCATGCCAAGGACTGTTGTTATTTATCTTAATGTCTGACATTAAGTAATAAACGACATAAGAACTACAGATAGGCGAGATGTTTCTCTATTAATGGCTATGTGATGCCAGGGCTTGGGGTGGGAGAAACGATATGAAAATCACTGCTCCATCTCCTCCCATTGGACCAACCCAACCTTTTGTTCCAATTTAAACCTCCTTTGCTTCCCTTGACCGAATCAACAGAGTATCTTTATAAAACATTGCTATACTGCAGCATCTTCCAAGTAGAGATTGTTCATCCAAAGGGCAGCAAAATATTCTGCCACTGTCAAACATCTTGAATACAACCTGGGGTGTGGTATAGAGTTTATATTTGATAGCTAGTGGAAAATACTGAGCAATGCCTCCAAATAACCCCCCTCCACACACACACACACACACACACGCACATACACACACACATTCTTTAAAAAAAAAAAAAAATCTCTTTCCTAAGAAGATAGCGCTTGGAAAATAAAGTTTGCTGGGTCATGGATCTATGGTATTCACGAGTTTCTCTGTCATGTCCATCGATTCTTTCTACTCATTCCTGTCATCCATTCAGAAGCAAAATACATGTTCCCTCAAGGTTTCCACAGGAGGCACATTCAGCTCTCAAGTTCTTTTTTTTTACCAGGGTTGATGGGGGAACTCTACAAGGGCAATCCTCATAGACAAAGATCAGCAACATCAAATCTTTTTCTCTGTTCCAAGTAGATTAGAGACTAACTTTTCTTAAGACTTTTGCAATTGTCCGTAAAAAATCCATCTAACTCATCACTATGGAACTAAATTAAACCCCTTTGCATTCACCAAATGTTCTGCCAGAAGGAATCTTTGTGTTTTGTCAAGGTAGATAAACAAAATGCTTCCCTCTATAGCCGAGCTACATTTAAAAGTTTAAAAGTTGAGGGGCGCCTGGGTGGCTCAGTCGTTAAGCGTCTGCCTTCAACTCAGGTCATGATCCCAGGGTCCTGGGATCAAGCCCCACATTGGGCTCCCTGCTCAGCGAGAAGCCTGCTTCTCCCTCTCCCACTCCCCCAGCTTGTGTTCCCTCTCTCACTGTGTCTCTCTCTGTCAAATAAATAAAATCTTTAAAAAAAAAAGTTTAAAAGTTGAAAGTCACCTTTAAAAGTAAAATGATACACATTTCTACCAGATGTCTTTCCCCCAAATCATCTGGGTTTTGCAGACGATTTATCACTATGCTTTCTGCCAGGACCCTTGCAGTGAAATCTATTTATTCAGAGAAGAGTTCAGGCTTTGCTATCTTTTAAATCTGAATAGAGCAGAAACCAATTTATTTAATTTTAAAAACAGTTCCCTGCTCCAGGACTAGACATTTGCCACTTGAATCTCTGGGTAAATGTCACCCAGGAATGTGATAATGTGGGTCCTCCCAGAATCTGATTCCCCGCGGTAAACAAACCTCTTCACATTCTTTGGAAACCAAACCATACCCTTCAGGGACAGTCCCCTGATCTCTGCTCCACGCCGAGCGTTTTGCACACGTTTGCAGCCGACTTGGGGGAGCCCGCGTCTGTTCTCACACACAGCGCAGCCTGGCACTTACTTAAATGGCCCCTCAAAAACTGTTATGGTCACGTATACCTTTGTTAGTCTTCATCTCAGTCGGAATAATTTATTTGCCTTTCAGCAGCACATATGGCCTAAGACAAATACAGTAGCTCTTTCCTCTTTCCAGTCAAGTCCGAAAGTCTCATCCTGGCATTGTTATTATTGTGCTCTTCGAAGCATTTCCACATCGAGAACGCTGTACGAGGTCCCGATGGAAAGTCACTGCCGGCCAACACGGATGGACGCTGCCTGTTAAGTAAGAGGCAGTGCTTCCTTTAGGCCTGGGTTTAAAGACTCACTTCGCTTGCTGTTCATCTTCATTTTGGGTGACTGCCCAGCAAGGCTCGTTTCTCTCGCCCAGATGTTTCTCTTGTTTCACCGCTGCATCTGATTCTCATCCTTCCATCACTTTCTAAGCCATATGTGCATGTGTACAGAAGCACGTGTGTGTGTGCTGTATCCACATCATTAAACTGAGGACACATTTTCTCGTGTTTTCTTTCTGTATCTCTTTCTGCCCTTTCTCTCTTATCCCACCACAGATGAACACAACACGATTGATGATACAGCAGAATATCAATTTTTAAAAGTTTAAAAAGTCATCTCTAAAAGTAAAAATAAAAATAAAAAAGTTGTCTCTAGGGGCGCCGGGGTGGCTCAGTCAGCTGAGCATCCAACTTTGTGATTTTAGCTCAGGTCATCTGATCTCATGGGTCGTGAGATCGAGCCCTGTGTCGGGCTCCATGCTCAGCACAGAGTCTGCTTGTCCCTCTCCCTTTCCTTTGTCCCAACTCACAGCTAGTCTGCTGTATTAATTGGTAGAAAGTTAAAGTGAGGGTCTCTGGAGAGGCGTTGAGTAGTCTTAAATCTACGGTCGCCTTCCTGAGACCAAGGGGCAAGTCATTTGCAGAGGCCAATTCAGAGTTTCTATTTCCATTTTAAGGTATAGCCTCCACCTTCACTGTTAAAAGCGCAAAGTTTTCAAGAGTTGGCCCGCCCCAGGGGTCACAAAATCTGTAGATGGTCTGAATGCGGTCTGCAGCGGTTTGGTTCTGAAATAGTAGTTTGGAAGCTGGAAGCTTTTCACATTAGTAACATAGATATCCAGCCATTCTTCAAAATCTCTGACAACACTAAGCCCTTATTTCCCACATGGGGACAATTGGCTAGGACGGAGTAGCTGCTGACCACTGTGGGCGAGTCTATTGTTCTTCAGTTCCCTCAAATCCCATTGTCTCCCCAACCTGAACTACCACACCTCTTATGGTCACCTGCCCCTGGGACATTTGAATTTGAAATAGAGGGCAGAGGATGTTTAACCTCTGCCAAAAGAGTATAGGTCTAATATCGTCACAACTCAAGATCTGCCCCTCATTTCCTTATAAAGTAGGAGTCTTATCAGCTTACCATGGTCAATTGCAAACACTCCCTTATATTCGGGTCTCCATGATTGAAAAGAGTGTTCCTTGAATGACTCTTGCTGGGGTAGAGAGATCCTCCTTACAAGGTCAGCTTCTTTCTCTTTCTGTTGTCCCCAAGGGAAGCTCCCCACTCCCTCTCTCCCAGGAAGCTTCCAGAAGCCATGGCCATTGGTAGGAATAGCCGCTTCCTCAAGGGTTTCTTGCAGCATCTTTTCACAGGACGTGGGCACGGCCAGGTCTCCGCCACAGGGCTTATAGGCAAGGCCCAGGGGAGCTAAATGAGTTAGGATACAGGTCCTGCTGCTTTAGCAAAAGCCCAAAAGAATAGCAGGGCCAATATGTTCTCACTTCCTCCAGAAGGAGAAAGGCCAGAGAAGTAGGGCAGCTGTGCTCCACGAGGTCATAGGAGGGCCCACGCTTCTTACAGCTTATGAAGACACATGTTTTCCTCATCCAGGTGGTGCAAGATAGCTCCTCACTGCATCCATAGTCTAGCCAATGACAAGAGGGAACAAGGGGTAGTAGAGGGCCTTAAACCCTGGTACACAAGGCCCCCAAACCTGGGGGTCATTTTTTACTCTTCTCTTTCACATCTGGTCCACTAAGAAACCTATTGATTCTGTCTTCAAAATACAAATTAGAAATCAGTCTGTCCTTTTTTTTTTTTAAGATTTATTTATTTATTTGAGAGAAAGAGGTAGAGAGAGAGCATGCACGTGAGTGGAGGGAGGGGCCGAGGGAAAGACTCCCCACTGGGTGCAGAGCCCGACCAAGGGCTCAATCCCACAGCCCTGAGATCATGACCTGAGCCGGAATCAAGAGTCAGATGCTCAACCAACTGAGCCACCCAGGCGCCCCAAATTCAGTCCTTTCTCATCACTTCTGCTACCCCCTTGATCCAAACCACCCTCCTCTCTGGCCAGGATTATTCCAATAATCTTCGAATTGGTCTTGTTACTTGTACACTTGCTTGCCCACCACCACGGCCACCACTACCCACAGAGGTCTGTTCTCAGCATAGCAGAAGGAGGATTGCACCATAATAGAAACAGATTACTTTTCTGCTCGGCTCAGATCCTTCAGGGGCATCCCCCGTTTCCCTTAGAGTAAAAACCAGAGTCCTCCAATGGCCTGCAAGTGTCTACATATCTGACTTCCCACACATCCTTGTTGCTTCTTTTCTTCTACTCTTCTCTTGTTCACCTTGCTCACCCTGTTCTAGACATACTGGTATCCTTCCCATTTCCGGAATATGTTAGAGGCACTTCTGCCATAAGGGACTGGCTGTTCCTCTGCCTAGAACACTCTTGCCTGCAATATCCACACGACTAACTCCCTTACCTCCCCCCGACTTTGTGGTTGCTGGCTTCCCAATGAGTCCTTCTCTGACCACCTTACTGAAAATTAGAGCCCCCTCTCCTTTTCCCTTTATTCCATTCTCCCCCCTCCCCAGTTTTCCTGCAGCACTTACCAGCTTTTAACACACTTTAACACACTATGTAATTTGCTTTTCTATTATGTTTATTTTTTACTCTCTCCGGCTAGAATCTAAAATCTAAAAGGGAAGAAATAATTGTCTCATTTAGTGAAGAAGCACAATTAACTAGAATAGTGCCTGAGAAATGTAGGCACTTACTGAATATGCGCTAAATGAATGAGTGATTACGATTCGGAAATGGTGGCTGCCAGCTCTGGGCTAATGCTTTGGGTTGAATTGTGCCCCTCCAAAAAGGTCTGTTGAAGTCTTCACCCTCAGCATTTCACAATGTGATCTTATTTGGAATTAGGGTTTTTACAGAGGTCATCAAGTTAAAACGAGGTCATTAGGGTGGGTTGTAATCCAGTATGACTCCTGTCCTTATGGAAGGGCGAAATTTGGACACAGAGACAGACACGCAGGGAGAGCACCAGGAGGTGATGAAGGCAGATATTAGGGTGACACATGTACAAGCCAAGAAAGGCCAAAGTTTGCCAGCAAATCACCAGAAACTAGGGAAGATGCAGGGGACAGATTCTCCCTCACAGACATCTCTCACGAGGAAACCACCCCACCTACACCTGACATCAGACTTCTAGCCTCCAGACTGTGAGACAGTAAATTTCTGTTATTTAAAAATTTTAAGTTTAGAGCACTTTGTCACATCAGCCCTATGAAACTCATATAGTTAGTCACGAGATATGTGCGTAGGCATGAGATTTGGAAACTTAATTAGATCCGGAGGTGCCTATAAACTATAAAGCAACATATAAACAAGCTGTAATAATTAAACAAGAATATGTCCTTAAGGGTTAACTGTGCTTCTCCAAGGACTCAGGGGGACAGTTGCTGAATTCTGCCTTACTTCTCTGTCTTTTCCCCATCCTACCCATATCCCTCACCATCGCCACCACACAAAAACATCTGCTCTAAATCACAGGGGAATTCCTAGATTATATTTCCTGTGAAGGATTCAGCTGGGCAGCATTCAGCAACTCTCGAAGATCTTTCTCCAAGCTTGAACTAACTGGACCTTGTGTCTAATCAACTCATCTGCTTTCTGGAAGATTGGGGACCTCTCTGATACAGGGTTTTCCGTTTGAAGGGATTCTAAAATGGACGAGCTAGATCACTCATCCTCAAGGTACCTTCCCCCCAACCAAGAGAACTGGGAAGAGAGGTGGTTGGTGTCCTTCAGCAGGCCCTGTGATCATTTCAGTAATGGCATTAGAAGGGGCCATTCCTGACTTTTGGTGAGGATAATGGTTCTAGTGCAATTAGGGGTCTTCCACTGGCTTTCTGTGTTTGGAGAATGAAGGTCCTTCTACTTACTGCTTAGGATTTTGTAAGGTGATTTAAACTGCCACCTGGAGCATTTGGCTTCAGAATTCCTAATAGCCTAAAAGGTCATAGGCACGAGGAGGGAAGGGTGTCCCAGTATACAGGCAGAAAACAGAGACAGGGAGTTAGACACTAGGCTAGAAAAGATTTGACATTGAGGAGGTTCAGCCACCAGAAGCAGTGGGCAGAGTAAGATCCCCAGACCTGCAAGAAAAAGGCAGCAAGAAGGAAGCCAATTCTTGCTCAGTGAAGTAGGATACATGAAGGATAAGACTTGGTGTCAAGAAAAAAGCCAAGATCCTGGGGATAGCATTGTGGGTCAAGGCCAGAGAGATTCTGGCAATGACGGTGACTTAGGGGTGAACTAACAAACTCTCTCGTTACATTTGGTTCTGAACAGGATCTGTAGCCGAGTCAATCATTTATCCAGCCCATGTTAAGCACCTGTGATATGTTAAGATGTGTACTAGGCACCATGAGGGTCAGAGATGACAGGCATTGTTCTCAAGGAGTTAAGAGTTTGGTAGGGCAGAAATTGAAGATAAACCAATGACAATTTATTAGTGTATTAAGTACAATAAGAGTACAGTGTCATACAAAATCATGGTAACTAAGGGCTCAGGCTCTGGGTCCAATAGATCTGAGTCTAGATCCTGATTCTCCAGTTATAGGTTGTGTGATCCTGAGCAAGTCACTAAGCTTCCTAAACTTCAGTACCTTTTCTTGTAAATGGGAATAATAAATAGTACTACTTAACTACTTTATAAGATTCTCGTGAGGATCAAATTAGACCATACATGCCTGGCACCTGGACAATTCCCAATAACATTGACCTTTTTTTATAATAATAGTGATTATTATTGTAATTATCTGGGAAAGGTAATGTCAGGAAATGTTTCCAGGAAAAGGTGGCACTTAAGCTGAATATTGAAAAACAAAGAGAAGGTGGCTGGGCCTGGGATTGGGAGGTGGCTAATGAATGGCTTTTATTTTTTAATTATGTCCTGCCAGGCTCCTCAAAGAATTTGAGGTAGGATGATGAATTCGGTGTTAGTAGAATTTAATGTGACATGTCTCTGAGCAACACTACATGCTTTGACCTCTTCATTCTAACCCTACTATAATCCCATATTTTTTTTTCTTTTAAAGATTTTATTTATTTATTTATTTGAGAGAGAGAGTGAGAGAGAGCATGAGCAGGGGGAGGGGCAGAGGGAGACAGAGAAGCAGACTCCCTGCTGAGCAGGGAGCCCCACGCGGGGGTCAATCCCAGCACCCTGGGATCATGACCTGAACTGAAGGCAGACACTTAACCGACTGAGCCACTCAGGCACCCCTATAATCCCATATCTTATATGTTTGCTCCATTAATTACTGTAGCTCCATGAAATGAATACAACTATTAATTTTCTTTCTTCTTGATTTTGAATACTAACAAACAGAAATAACACAAAATAAAATTGATGTATTTAAAATTGTACCCAGTAAACTTTGTTTTGATTGTAAAAATGACTTTTACTTCTTCTTAACCCAGAAAAACTGGTCTTGATAGGAAGGAAAAAAAAAGATCACAAAAGAAAACTTAACTTTGGGTGAAATTATAATAGATAAATTTTGGTATGGGCAAAAATAAACAAAATAAAACTGAACAAATCACATTTTTGTTGTAAATGTAGAAGATAATTAATCCAAATTAATTCAAAACAAAGGAATTTCAATAAAATTAAAATTTCAATAAAATTTAGGGCACTCTATAGGAAATTGGTATAGAAATTAAATGGTCATAGTCAATTTTATTCCAAAAGATACCTTTTGGTTGAAAAGTCTTCCACACTGATATAATTCTTATGAACATGTTTGCATTCATAAACATAGATTCAAAACATCCATGGGTGCAAAATAGTGTGTCAAAATCTCCAGGTCTTGCGTATGACATCTGGATTTGTGGATTGATGAAGCAGTTGGAACTCCCTTTCTAGAGCTTAGAAAGTCAAGGTATAACTAAGGGCTTTGAAGTCATCACCACGTAATTATTCCTCTGTTTTCTTTTGTATCTTCCATAAAATAATAATGCAGAGTCAGAACCTAATAAATGCCCATTGAATGTTAGATTCTCTCTAGTCAGGCCTATAAGCCTTACGGATAGAGGAATTGCCCTGTAGAGTCAATCATTTTAATTTAGCGCTTACTGAATACTTTGCAAAAATGAGCTGTCGCAGCTTTGAGAGTAATCAGAGCAAAACTGAGGTACCCCAAGATTTGGATGTCTAGAATATAATCACAGACCTTACCAAAAATTGTACTATTTCCATCCAGTTCATCAGATGAAACATTTTTATCCTAATGTTCCTTGTTCACCGAACATTTCCTCTTTTAAAAATTGTTTTCTTTCTTTTCAAATTTGCTTTTATAGATATCCTCATTCTCTACTTGACAAGGTCATGGAAGATCTAGAGGAAACATTATTTGAAGAATTTGAGAACTACTCCTATAACCTGGAATATTATTCCTCAGAGTCTGATTTGGAGGAGAAAGTCCAACTGGGAGTTGTTCATTGGCTCTCCCTGGTGTTATACTGTTTAGCATTTATTCTGGGCATTCCAGGAAATGCCACTGTTATTTGGTTCATGGGGTTCAAGTGGAAGAAGACAGTCACCACTCTCTGGTTTCTCAATCTGGCTATTGCAGATTTTATTTTTCTTCTCTTCCTACCTCTGTACATCTCCTATGTGGCAATGAATTTCCACTGGCCCTTTGGCATCTGGTTGTGCAAGGCCAATTCCTTCATTGCCCAGTTGAACATGTTTGCTAGTGTCTTTTTCCTGACGGTGATCAGCCTGGACCGCTATATCCACTTGATCCATCCTGTCGTATCTCATCGGCACCGAACCCTAAGGAACTCCCTGATTGTTATTATATCCGTTTGGTTTGTGGCTTCTCTAATGGGTGGTCCTGCCCTCTACTTCCGGGACACTCTGGAGTTCAATAACCACACTATTTGCTATAACAATTTCCATGAGCATGATCCTGACCTTACTTTGATGAGGCACCATGTTCTGACCTGGGTGAAATTTATTGTCGGGTACCTCTTCCCCTTGCTAGCAATGAGCATTTGCTACTTGTGTCTCATCTTCAAGGTGAAGAAGCGAAGCATCCTGGTCTCCAGTAAGCATTTCTGGACCATCCTGGCTGTGGTCATGGCCTTTTTGATTTGCTGGACTCCTTATCACCTGTTTAGCATTTGGGAGCTCACAATCCACCACAGTAGCTATTTCCACCAGGTGCTTCAGGCCGGCATCCCCCTCTCCACTGGCTTGGCTTTCCTCAATAGTTGCTTGAACCCAATCCTTTACGTCCTAATTAGTAAGAAGTTCCAAACTCGCTTTCGGCTCTCAGTTGCTGAGATCCTAAAGCACACACTGTGGGAGGTCAGCTGTTCTGGCACAGTGAGCGAACAGCTCAGGAACTCTGAGACCAAGAACCCATGTCTTCTGGAAACAGCTCAGTGAGTTATCAGTAGAAGGCTTTTGGGGGGGGGACCCTGACAAATGCTTTCAGATTATTTGGTTCCAAGGTATGGTAATAACCATCTCTTTCTGTTAATCAGTTTAGCGGCATTACATTTTTGTGTTGGTATAAAACGTAGGAAAGATCTTCATTTTTTCCCCCTGCAAATTAAATTATCTGTCATTCTTGCTAATTATACCGTCGTGGATTAGTCACCACTGTGGATGCAGTATCAGCTATTATTTTTTAAGTCCTAATAACTTTGAAGTCCTAAATCTTAATATTAAATAGATGATTAATTCATTTCAAAAATGTTAACGTATGTGCTGCTTAAGCTCACTTTAATTTTGCACCAGTAACCTATTAGACATATTTTTCAAATGCAACATGTACTTCATTTCTTTATTTCATGAAACCTATATATGTACATTTATAAATTAAAGTAATAGTTGGTTATAGTAGTTTAAAACATTATGAACTATTCATGCTTAGTGAAGTGTCCCAGAATCTAGTTGCTTGAAATGACAATTTATTATTATAATATCTCACAATTCTGAGTCAGAAACTCAGACAAGGCCTAGAAGGGACGTTCATCTCTCTGCTTCACGAGGTCTGGATCATCAGCTGGACTGGGATGACCCAAATGGTAGAATTTTGGAACAGCTTGTCTCCTCTGCCCTACTGTTCCTTCTCTTCTTCTTTTTTTTTTTTTCCACACAGCTTGTCCAGTATGGTAGCTCAGGGTAGCCAGACTTCTTATATGGCAGTGTAGGGCTCTAAGAGACCAAAGTGGACATTTCTAGTCCTCTTTAAGCCTATGCCCACCCCTGACACAGTATCACATCCACTGTACTCTCTTGGTCAAAGTAGTCCTGGGCCAGCTCAGGTTCAAGGGGAGGCGACATAAACCCCACCTGCCAATGGGGATATGCTCCTATCTTTAATCCCTCGTGAAATCATTATAAATGTTAACATTCTTGGAAAATTCTGGGTATGTGCAAATATGTATAAGATTGCTGTAAACATAAAACACTGACATCTAGATGGTAGATAGGCCAGCCTAATCTCAGAATGATTTCAGAAAAAGAAAGCATGTATGACATTGATATATTTCCACCTTCTATTCCTATAACTCTATAGATACAGACACAGTACAAGACCAATAAAGTATACCTTTAAGTCAGTAACCTCTTCAATTTTAAAAAGCATTTAATTTTCTGTAATTTCTTTATTTTATTTTGAAAGTTGGGAGGGGAGCTGTGTTATTTTTTGAATCAGTATCCTTTTTTATTTCATCTCTCAGCTTCTGGACATGCCCATTAGCCCATAGCAACAATCAGATCTGGTTTTGGAAATTATTCCTCAAAAATGTGTGGCATAGCTCAGCATATCCCAAACTTCTGTCATCCCCCAATTTCATGATTTCTGCACACCCAGTATGGAGGGAAGGCAAGGAGAGAAAGGCTCATTGTGAGTGTCTGTCCCCTCCACGACCGGAGTTTAAGATATTCCATTCTGGGTTCCCCGTCACCTTCAAGGGACAGGCCCTGATTTCCCAGGATCAGGAGAAAAGCTGGAGGATCAAAGACAAAGAGAATTCCTTAGGCTCATCCTTAGTTTGAGCAGATGGAGGGATTCTCAAGGCTGTGGGAGAAAGAGGAAGGCTGAAGAGCAGGAAAGGGATTAAGCAACCAAGGGCAGAAGGAAATGATGGAGCAGATGGTGTTACCACCTAAGAAGCAGCTTACCAAAGGCCTATGAAAATATTTGAGATCTTTAAAAAAATGTTATTTTTTATAACATTTAAAATACAAAAAAGGAAACTTGAAAAGTCAAAATTAATAAATACTTAATCACATGTCTATAAAATACACCTTTATGTCAATGAGTCAAATGAAATATTTCATAGTTATATAAAAACTTATATTTAATATGGACTTTCAATATGTTTCAGTGTTTGATATGAGGAGTGAAACCGAAAAAAATGCTTTAAGGAAGGTCTATAAAGGTCTTTTTTTTTTTTTTAAGATTTTATTAATTTATTTGACACAGAGAGAGAGAGAGGGAGAGAGAGAGAGCATAAGCAGGGGGAGTGGCAGGCAGAGGGAGAGGAAGAAGCAGGCTCTCCGCTGAGCAGGGAGCCCAATGTGGGGCTCCATCCCAGGACCCTGGGATCATGACCTGAGCCCAAGGCAGATACTTAATGACTGAGCCACCCAGGCACCCCAAGGTCTACAAAGGTCTTAAAGAACTCTGAATTCATTTGAGAACCTAAGGAAGGTTATGGGTCCTTTCCCTAGAAACATGCTTTTTTTTTTTTTTTTTTTTTTAAATCAGTCTCTGCCCAAACGTGGAGCTTAAACTCACAACCCCAAGATCAAGAATCAAGTCTCATGTGACTGCCAGGTACCCCTCCCTAGAAACATGCTTTTAAATAAAATATCAGAGTCCTTAGATCCTGGGCTAAAGACCCTAGTTTTAGTGGCTTTTAAAATAGCTGATAGTGGGGATGTAAACAGAAATCTGCTAGTGAAAGTAGCAGCCAGTACAAGTACTTAATATCTTATTCTCAGTTTGAGGGAAGATCTGAAGAGTAGCATTGGGCCTGGGCCTGGGGACTCCAAGCCTCCTCCCCTAACAGTTGGAATTTGGTTAGTGGGGCTTTCCAGGGGTCTCCTGATTAAGAGCAGGATGAACGTCTAAAAGGACAGAGGCTGGAGGAGAGGACAAGCACTGGAGCAATTAGGGAAGGAAGTGAGGGAGCTCAGTGCCCAGTTGGCAGAAGAGTAAAGAATCCCAGGCTCTCAGGGACTGGGGCATAGACACCAGGAGACAGACCTGCCTCTCTAATGGAAAACAGCTCTTTTTTTTTTTTTTTAAAGATTTTATTTATCTGAGAGAGAGATTGAGACAGAGAGAGAGAGCATGAGAGGGGGGAGGATCAGAGGGAGAAGCAGACTCCCTGCTGAGCAGGGAGTCCGATGTGGGACTCAATCCAGGGACTCCAGGATCATGACCTGAGCCGAAGGCAGTGGCTTAACCAACTGAGCCACCCAGGCGCCCCGGAAAGCCCCTCTTTGAAGAGGGCAAGTCCCAGGGCCTCCAGAGGCAGGATATCAGGATTTGAACTAAAGTTCCAACACATGCTGTGTCTGTGTCCTTGGCTAAATTAATTCAAATTTCTAGACCTGTTTCTCCCATCTGCAAAATGGGGACAACAATAGTAGTATGCGCTACAGGGCTGTTGTGGAAATTAAATGAGGCAATGCAGGTAAAGCACTTAGAGGGGTACTTAGACCTATAAATAACTTGAGCAATCTTAGCTGGTATTAGTCAGTAAATTCTTGGCATCTTCCAACCTAGTAACTGCTTAGTAAATGTTAGATCCTTTCCTCTTGGATGAATACAAACATTTCACAGGAAGAATAAGGGAGCTACACAGAGAACTTTAAAACAAGATAGTTTATATGTATAAAAGACTATGTGCCTAGAGGTTGTAAAGGGCAAGAAGCAGAATAAAAGTTGAAAGATGTATTTGAAGTGCATCTTGAAGAATGACTCCAATTTTAACGAGTGCAGATGAGAAAAGAGCCTTTTCAGGTAGGTGACACAGTAGGGGCAAAAGTACAGAGGAAAACAGGCTATGATCAGAAAAAATAGTGAAAAAAAAAAAAAGGTCCCATTTTCTAGGGACAGAGTGAGGATAGAAGATTCACAAGTTGGTGTCCAGCTTGAATAGTAATCCATAGTTCCTCAATATTCTTACATATGGGCAGTTCTTTGGGAGAATGAATTTAAGAAGTCCATGAACATTTTCCTTTGATTTTTACTTTACTGAAAGCTATGCAGGCCAATGGCATTCCAAACAACAGATGCTCATTTGGGTCATTTCTTGAATGCATCTATTACCATCCATACAGAGCGCATAATGACAAAATGTGTTTATCAGTCTCAGTTCCATTTAAAATTTACCTTTATGTGACTTTATCTTCTCACTCTCCCTAATTGAGGATATAAAGCAAGGGTTACACCAATGAAATAGGATTAAATTGTCTAAAAGCAGGGATGAAGAACTTTCTTCATTCTATTGCCAACACATTACCTGGCCAAGGACCCCGGTTTCAGTTCTCTCTCTCTAGGTGAATAATCGGGCAAATCATCTTTCAGAGTTGTTTCCTCATCTAAATGGTGATAAAAGTGTCTGCTTTGCTTATCTCATAGCTTATAATGGGGTCCAAAATGGACAGTGTGATGAGGCATGTATTTTTCTATTTTTTTTAGTTTTTTAATCTAAGGACAATAATTGCCATTGCCAAATTGGATTTGTTCGGGGTGGGGGGGAATACATATAGATCCCAAAACATGAATGCAACTCCTTTTGTATTTGTTTTTGTCCATAAGCTTATCTTTTCGTAATACGGAAAAAAACTCCAGCATTTCTCAATGTTGCTCTAGTCTGTTACTTTTTAATTATATTGTTTATAAAGTATTTCCTTGAGTATATATGCCATAATTTAGCCATTTCCATTCATGTTAGGACTGTAACAATCCTTTTATTCACATGCTTCCATCCATACCACCTCCAGGTCAGAGCTGTCTGCCTTTGTCATTTTCTGGCTCAGAAAACTTCAAGGCTCTCCCCACTCCTCACCCCCATGCCCCCCCACCCCCGCCCCCATACACACACTGCTCTCACAGAAGGAGCCAGACTGGATGTGCCGCCTGGCCCCACCCTACCTAATCCCAAACAGACACTGCAAAATCCAGCCAAATTGATCTAATTGCCTTGTAAATGTTGCTTTGTCTATTCTATTCCTGTGTTTTATCCCCTCCTGGAATATTTTTTCTTTTTTTTTTTTTAAACAAATTACTGATCAAGGTCCACCCAGCTCAAGTCCCAACTTCTCCAAAAAATTTTTCGATTCTAGCCTTCCTGGACCCTCTGAACTTTTGATTACTTGCTTAATCACAAAATGACTAATTTTTAACAATTTTATGTGTGTTCAAGCCACCTCCCTATTGTAATTTTCTTACCTTTTTTGTATTTTTATAGCTTCTAACATAGTGACACTGAATCATTTTTAATTCCCACACTGTTCTCAGCCTTCTGTGAGGGATGCCAAATATGAAAAATAAGTACGGTCTGAGTTACTGTAATCATTTATGGGCATACAAAAAAAAGCTGGCCTCTTTTATCTTTTGTTAATACTCCAAAGCCAGAAACAAACCAAAAAATCTCTTTCTCTATGTCCACCTATGCCTTCTGAGCCCATTGGTTCAAAAACAGGTTATTCAGTATACAGGCTCACATGCAAATGTGAGCATTGCTTATAACAGCAGAAAGCTGAAGCAATCTAAAGCTCCAATAAATAGACTGGTTAAATAAGATATGAGACAAAAGATTATGTAACTGTTAGAAAATGAGAAAGCTTGGGTGCCTGGGTGGCTCAGTTGGTTGAGCGACTGCCTTCGGCTCAGGTCATGATCCCGGAGTCCCGGGATCGAGTCCCACATTGGGCTCCCTGCTCGGCGGGGAGTCTGCTTCTCCCTCTAATCCTACCCCCTCTTGTCCCCTCTCTCTCTCTCAAATAAATAAAATCTTTAAAAAAAAAAAAAAGAAAATGAGAAAGCTTTATAAGTACTGACATGGAATATTCAAGATATAATTTCCAAGACATCCAAGTCTATTTTTATGGACGAAGTAAAAGGTGAACAGTTTGCATTGTATGCTACAATTATTTCATGCATATGCTCACACTAGTTCTGGAAAGAGCTAAGAAACTGTTGACATTGGTTGTTTTTATGGAGCTAAATGGGAGGCCTGGGAGAGGGGGCAGTGGGGGGAGGGGAGACACACACAGAGACTTCACTGTATAACTTCTTTGTTTTGAACTATGTTACTGTATTATCTATTTTTTTAAATACAAAATTAAAAGATACCATTAAATATATTTATGTGAGGCCGCGGAGTCAAGATTTTTTTTTTTAAGATTTTTTATTTATTGGGGCGCCTGGGTGGCTCAGATGGTTAAGCGTCTGTCTTCAGCTCAGGTCATGATCCCAGGGTCCTGGGATCAAGCCCCACATCGGGCTCCTGGCTCAGCAGGGAGCCTGCTTCTCCCTCTCCCTCTGCCTCTCTCTCTGCTCATGCTATCTCTGTGTCTCAAATGAATAAATAAAATCTTTAAAAAAAAAAAAAAGATTACTTATTTGACAGAGAGAGACACAGCGAGAGAGGGAACACAAGCAGGGGGAGTGGGAGAGGGAGAAGCAGGCTTCCGGCGGAGCAGACAGGCCGACACAGGGCTCAATTCCAGGACCCTGGGACCATGACCTGAGTCACTGAAGGCAGACGCTTAACGACTGAGCCACCCAGGCGCCCCTGGAATCAAGATTTTTAGTCATGTGCTTCATTTATCATTTTAAGATTACAAGACAGCTGTGGTTTGAAATGACCATTCTAAATTTTTTACTTTTAACCATATTTTTAATCAATGGTTTCTATCATTTTTGTTAATACTTCTTCCAGCTTTTTGGTGCTCAATCCCTTTAACATGTTAATGATTGTGAGTGATCTGGGGCTACTATTTACTAGTTGCTACATCTCGATCTTTCCATGGCAACATTTCCAGAATCCCCAGGCTCTGGTTCTACAGAAAATGAAGTGCTGCCCTCTGCTGGCTCTCAGGACACTGACAACCAGAAAATTTCTCATGACGTTGGAAGTACTTAGTGAAGATGATCATAGTCATTGGTACATACTTGTACCAGTTAAATAAATTACCTCTCAAATTTAATAAACAATCTCCCACATTTAAGGTAGTCTCCCATATAAATAAAATCAGATTGAGAGGAAAAGAATAGAACTGTCTGGTTTGGCTAGGAAAATTCTGACCTCAAACAAATCATTTAATCTTTTTGGTCTACAGATTAGAGACCACAAAGACTTTTAGAAGTCAGTAATTCCTGGGGTGCCTGACTGGCTCAGTCAGTTAAGCATCCAACTCTTGGTTTTAGCTCAGGTCTTGATCTCAAGGTCATGAGTTCAAGACCTTTAAGAACCAAAAGCTGCCTTCACCTACTTAGCTGCAGCACTACCTCATTTTTTAAAGATTTTTAAAACTTTGAGAAGCAAGAGCAAGCATAAGCAGTGGGGAGGGGCAGAGGGAGCAGCAGACTCCCCACCCAGCAGGGAGCCCAATGTGGGGCTCAATCCTGGGACTCCAAGGCCATGACCGGAGCCAAAGGCAGACGCTCTACCAATTGAGCCACCCAGGTGCCCTGCACTACCTCATTATTGAAGTCCCTTCACCACAACAGGTTGCTATCCAAATCCAAAAAAATGTCCCACTCAGTCTCCACCTCCACACCAAAGCCAGGTTTATGAACCACAGCCTGGGCATCAATTACCTGTATAACCTCCTTCCCATGACATAGTGCAAAACCATTCTCCAAAGCACAAATCAAGCTCTCCATTAGGGTGCCTGAGCCGGTTAAGCATCTGCCTTCTGTTCAGGTCATCTCAGTGTCCTGGGATTGAACCCCTCGTGGGTCAGCAGGGAGTCTGCTTCTCCCTCTACCCCTCCCCGCTGCTTGTGCTCTGGCTCTCAAATAAAAAATCTTAAAATTAATTAAGTTCTCCCTTAACAGTAAATGAGGCATGATCTTCAACTTGCAGTATTTGCCTTGACAGATTAATTTGTAACAAATTTTGGGAATCCTTCCTTGGACCTAACTTCCATCCTCTGGGTTAGGTGTCCTTTAGTGAAGTTGCACACCCATCCTATATCATATTGCTTTCAAGTGGGATTTTTAATTGTGTGATTTTTCAATCTGGAGTAACCCCCAACTTGAAGATCCTATGTGACAACAAATTACTTCATCAGTCATTTAAGTCATTGAGCCATCTCAACATTTAACTTTTTCCAAATATTTCATTAACTATTCCAGCAAACAAAGAACATTCACTGTGCCCAGTTACCATCTTAAGCACTTTATATGTATTGATCCACTTCTCATCATTAAGGTACTTCCAACATTTCCATTGCAGAAAACCAGCCCGGGTATTACATTGAAACTCCTTGCAAAAAAGCCCAAGGTGTGAACCATTATAATCTACAGGGCTAAAAAATCTAGTTGAAATTCTTAATCCAAAATTTCCCCAAGTGAAGCTTACCTGATTTCTTTTTAAAACAAAGCAAATATGAAACTTACAACACTGTGGTATTAAAACCGGCATCCTTGTGCATTGGGTACAGAAACTATGCTAAGACTGAGTACATTTCTATTAATTTGTTTGTAAAATCTATTCAACACCTACCTCTATTTATAGTATTCACAATAGATATTTTCCTCGTTTTTAGGCTAAATATCTAACAATGCTGACCCAAATTTATTTTTATGAATTATATAACCATTGAATTTCTTCCCTCAAAATGGAAACTACCCTACATAAGAGTCAAGAGCCAGCAGCTGTCTTTTAAGCTTTTATTTAAGGGCAATGATCTATGATGTAGATATTAGATCTTATTAAAAGCAGCCACGTCCATGGACTGCACATAGTCCTCAAAAGCAGTGATCCGCTCCTCCAGCATATCTGTTCCAACTTTATCATCTTCCACTACACACTGTATTTGAAGTTTTTTAATTCCATATCCCACTGGAACTAGTTTAGCTGAAAAGAACATTAAGAAAAATCTTAGTTAGCAAAGTCCTGTTGATTGACAAACATTTTAACTATGCAACTTCCAGATGCCACTTCCAAAAAGCAAAGATTGAACTCACAAGAGCCCCAGACCAAGCCGTCTGCCTGAATGCTTCGGACACACTCCTCTAGTTTTGCCATATCTGTCTCATCGTCCCAAGGTTTCACATCTAGTAATATGGAAGACTTGGCAACAAGTGCAGGTTCTAAAAAAAAAGGTACAATCAGCATTATTCAGACACTCAGTTATGTTTTTCATTTTAGTTGGTGACACCTTTATAATCTTAATCTGTTTCCTAATGGATCATCTCCTCAGCCAAACAAAACTACAGAACACATCTTATGTTTGTTATGCACATGCCCACTTTCTGTTGTGCTAAGAAAGAGGTATTTAATTGTGTAGTAACAGTTTCTTTCCCACAGAGGAATGCCACAACTGCTACCATAAGAACAGCTGCAGACCAGTAGCTGTGGAAGTTTTATGAAGAACCACCTATATAGGTTTTTAAATACCGACCTAGTTAACAAATGCAGAGGCAATTACTTTGGAAATCAAGCTTCAGAAAAGATTACTCACATTACTATGAAATGAAGTTAAAGCAGCACAAATTATAAAATGACCTACTTTTGGCTTTCTTTGACTCATACTGTGCAAGGCGTTCCTCTCTTAGCCTCTTCGCTTCTTCACTTTCCTATAAAGAAAAATTAAGTGTGTTTCACAAAGCTGGTTGTTCCTCAGCTTAATGCTAGTGGAACCATCACAGCAAAGACCAGTTTTTTCAGAAAAAAGCAAATCCATCACAAGCTCAGCCGAAAGATGGTGATTGGATTTTATTCATCATGTAACCAGTGAGAATTTTTAAAAGTCAGGTAATAAAGTGGTGAAACTAGAATTCAAATCCAGGCAATTTCACCACAGAGCCTATGATTAAGCTCACTGATATACATATTACTTTATGCCATACCTCCTCATCATCAGATCCAAAGAGATCAATGTCATCATCATCTTTACTATCTGTAGCTCCACTTCCTGTGGTGTCTTCCACATTAGCAGGGCCATACTTGCCCAAAGCTTTCTTCACTCCTGGAAGGCTTGAAAAAAAACTTAAGTTCAACCACCACTAGGTCAGTATGTTCTTTTTCAGACAGCACATGAGAACTTGTTTCCATCACTATTTACCAATAGATCCCTTCTGTACTAAGAATTTACCCTTAAACAGTAAATACTTTTGTATTTATATACCCTTAAAAGTAAATACTTTTGAATGTTTAACTCCTCACCCAACAAACATTAGTAGCATGTGAGACATTATATTCAATACTCACTATGATTTACTCTTTCAGTATGAATATTTCTGTTTGAGATTTCATTAAGTATGCTCAGTTCCATTCTTAGTGAACTGGAGTCCACTTCCCCAAACTTCCACCCTTGTTGGCAGTTTCAGAAGAATGGCCAAGGACTGAATGAATGAGCCACCCTCTCACCCCAGAGGTGGGCCCCCCAGGTCAGGGTGGAGGCACATTGTCAGGGCATTGTGGGGAAAAGTTGAACTGCTGTTGTCCATGTTCTACCTGTTCTGTGAAAAAATGGAGGACTTCAGTCTCTTGGCCTTCTCAAGTCACAAAGATAATTTAGCTTACAATACCCCAAACAAAACTGAAGTAGCCTGGGTCCAATTTTGTCATGTGAAAATCCTGAGTTTAAGCTCAGAAAGCGTTCTGTTCTTCAGATAAATACAAAGGTAATTTTACCTGGCCTTCTCCTTTTCATAAGACTTGATGTGATTATACCAACGGAGGGCATGATACAAGTCGGCAGGTGGGGGGCCGGAGACTGCCTCAAATACTGCCACGTCTGCTTGTGACGGCACATACCTGCCAAGGATACAAAAATTACACACACCTTTAGGAGAAAATCTACAAACATCAGCAAATAAATGACAAACGGCACATCCGTCAAACTAATTACTGTGAACTGGCCCATTTGCTACTGGGCAACCTAAGCCGCTGTATTTATTTTGTAAAATAAACTCAAGATCGGGGTCCATGTGTTTGGTTTTCCGCCCTACCCTGAGAATCCCTGCCACCTCGTGGACCTCGAAGTTTGTAATCCCTAACGGGAGACCTACAAGCTTACTTCCACAAACTGAGTGAACAAGGGGAAAACCATGGCTGAATCAAGTCAGTGGAAAGAAAGCGTATGTTTAACCCTTCGCCCCTCGCAGCCCCGCTACCTTTCCCCCAGCGGCGGCGGCAGAGGCCGCGCCACGTGGCCCGGCCCCAAGCCCGGGCCCGTCCTCACCCCTCGATGTAGCTCCTGTCCGCTAGGTAGTCGTTGAGCACCTGGAGACCGGCGGGGCTTTTCAGGTCTCCAAAACCCATGCCGTCGGCTGATCCCAGGAACCGGGGGGCAGCGAAGGAAAAGACGAGCGGAGGTAGTCGGCGCCTAGCGCTAAGAAGAAAAAAAAAAGGGCCGCAAAAGGCCGGAAAATGCCTTATATAGAGACGGAGGCGTTTCCCTCTGCCGCACAGGGTCGAAGGTTAAAGGTCAAAGTACGTTAATATCCTCCTTACTCCACGAAAAACTCGAGGGCTCTGAATTGAACGCCCCACAAATTATCTGCGGGCCTCTATGTGTTTAGGAATAAATTAATAAAAGGGGTATTTCTTAAATTAGTACCTCCACGGCTCTGGAACACTACAAGAACCGCCCCTCGAAGCGCCGGAGATGACCGAAGACGCTCAGCTTCAGGCGCCTGACCACTTCCGGCGGAACTGCGGTTCCAAACGGTCTCCCCGCCCCCGCCCCCGCCCCCGCCCCCGCCCCCTCCAGGCTGCCCGCCCTCCGCCCCGCCCCCTGTCAGGGGACGGAAATTGCCGAACTCAAACTGAGCGGAAATTGTCGAATCTGGAGTTTCTAGTCCCTCCTGGCTTCCCGTTCTCCAGGCCCTGCGGGCGAGGTTAGCCGAGGCCGCCATATTGAATAAGCAACCCGGCCTCTGAGGGGGTTGGTGCGGTACAGACAGTTCTGCAGAGCAGCTTCGGCGTTTCCAGGGAGAAGGTGAGGCCGTGATAGCGTGAGAAGGCTGAGGTTCCCCTTGCCATAGCAGTTGATTTCTTGACGACACTGTTTCTTTTGGCCCAGGTGACTCATTCTACTCTTGTCCTTGACTGGGCGCCACGTCCCACCCCCCCTTCCCCCGGAAGCCCCTAGAGCCGGCAGGTGAGGGCTGTTGGCGTGGTCTCCGGTCTCTTGGAGCGCAAAGCAGGTGGAGAACCTGGAGGCCCTGGGAGCGCTGGCCCGGAGGCAGGCTTGTGGGTGACCTTCATTCTGCAAGGGAAATGCAGGACATTTCCCTTTGTGGAGAGGAGGCCGTTTTGTTCCCTGGGAGAGGACGTATGTCAAGTGACTTAGGCCTAAAGACTGAGCGTTTAACACACCCCCAAATTAACCTATACTTGGTATAGTACACAGTTTGGCCGCTGTTGCCTTAGCAACCATCCACACCTCTGGGGTTTTGTTGTTGTTGTTGTTTTGTTTTGTTTTTGTACGTTGAGTGCATTGGGCAATATTTTTTATTCCTTTCCCGGGTGGGGAAACTGAAGAAAATGATACTTAAAAAGTTTGCCCAAGGTCGCACTGCGAATGACATGGCTACGTTTAGCTGTGTAGGGATCTAATGCATGTACCGTTTAAGACCGTGGATCAGACCCAACTCTGCTCCAGAACGATTTGAGGGCATTGAAAATGTATCGTGAACTGTTTCTGATGAATGAACATCCAGGTTGTTTCCATAGGGAATTTTTTTTTTTACACCGAATTGCATATGCATCGTTGAGCGGGGTGTTACAAAGCTGTCAGAGCACCTGCACTTTTTAATTCCAGGGAAGTGGAAGTTTTGGCCAGAAATTTGAGATAGAATTCATTTCGCAAATAGTGTTGAATGTCTGTTATAAACTAGAAATCAGTCCATGAGGAAGAATAAAATGGGTGATTTGACTGGGGAGTAGTTAGGGAATTTAAGATAGGCTGATCAAGGAAAGCCTCCGTGAGGAATGTCTGTTAAGCCCAAATCTGAAGGACAAGAAGCCAGAAAGATCTGAAGAAAGAGCATTTCAGTTTGAGGCCACAGCCTGTGGGGAGAGGGGAGAGGCTGTAGGGACAGTGTGGAAGCTAGGAGACCTGCTGGGGGGCTATTGTAATAGTCCAGACAAGACGATGGTGGCATACAGTAGAGCGGTACCTTGGAAGGAGAGAAGTGCATGGATGCAGGATATACGGTGGGGAATGTGGAATAGTACTGTTCTTATACTAAAAAGTGTCCACTCCAGTTTTAGAAATGATTGGTCATTAACATTTTCCCATTTAGAAATGACTATTTCCATTCCTACGTGGGAGATAAATATGTGTAAAGTACATTTCAAAGTTTTGTAAAACTGTCTTCTGTTGGGGCTACGCACTCTTCCATTCGATGCTGGATTTTCAAGAGACATCCTAGTTCTCGTTGATTTCCTAGCTAAAGTGGACAATACTTTTAGATTGTATTGGAGACAAAATAATAGTAAGAAAGTGTTTACATTGTTGTATGAAATATTGATTGTTGATTTTCAATCTGTCATTACTCTAATTCAGCAAATTCAGATTTACCTTTATATCATCAGAAGAATTTAGTAAGACAGATGCTACTCACTTTGGAACTTGGTGGTAAGGTTATGTGGTGGTTATTTTTTCAAGGGCTAAGTCTTCAGAAAAGGGAAATGACCAAATTGCACCATTTCTCTTCAAGGAACTTACACTTTAGTAGGTACTAAAATTGATTACTAACCTATAATTTAGTAGGTGGAATAATAAAGCTATATACACAGTGTGTGCTGATGGTACAGAGGGAGTACCAAGGAAGAGGACTTTGAAACTGATCTTCAGTGGCTAGTACTGTCTGAACTGAATTTAGATTTAATTGACATTTATTGAACTCTTACCAATAACGCATAGCCTAGGAAGTATTGTTTTCTTCCTTACCAATAGATAAAGAAGCAGAAACTCGATTTACCAAAAATCACTCACTTGTAGGTGATAGACTTCATGTCTGCAAATTTAATATCAAAAGTTCTGAATTAATGAATGTTATGAATTAACTAAAGTCTGAATTAATGAAATTTTCTGTTATACCTCTTCTGTAGTAGGTATGTGAAACTTCATGCTTAAAAAGTGTAAGACTGTCTTCCACTCTCTAACTTTGAAAGTCATTATGTTGATACATTCTGATCACATAATTTCCATTTTTAGAAGTTCTAAGTGAAAAATGACAATTCAGATGCTTAGCCCATTTGATCAAGTGAGTGGACAGAAAGTTCAGTGCTTAGCCCTTATGATCAAGTGAATGGATAAAAACTAAAAGTGCAGATAACTTTTCTGTTTGCTTGTGTGTATCTTTAATTAGTATTATTTATATAATTCCCATTTCTTTTAGTAATACAACAAACGTTTATTACGGGAAACTGTCCTTGTGCATTACAGGATGTTTAACAGCACCCTGGCCTCTACCCACTAAATGCCAGTAGCTTTCCCCCAGTTGTGACAACAATGTGTCCAAATATTGATAAATGGGAAGCAACCAGGGAAGCAAAACTGTCCCTGGTTGAGAACCACTATTTTGGAGCTTACTGTGTACCAGCCTTGGAAATAGGCACTGAAGATGGAAAAATTGAAGAAGTTCATAATACAGTGAGGGTAGAACAGACTTATAATTGCAAATCTGTAAGATAAATGTACTAAGCACAGAAGATGGCACCCCAGACACTTAAAAGGCTTGGACTTGTGAGCCAGCTCAGAATCTCAGGAACATTTAGTAGATAACTGCTTAGAACATAGGATGTTAGAATGAGTATTGGTAGGAAATGAAGGCAGAAAGGTAGACGTTATTTTACATAGTATTAATGGTAAGCTCACTGTTGTTCTTCGAGTTTATTTTACTACATAATGTTTTACATTTGATCATTTTTGATAGTTAAAAACAACACAAAACTGCCCTTTATATAGATTTATATACTAGCTGCTGCTCCTTAGCTCCTTGACATTGTACAAGTCAGTTGATCTCCTGAGACTGAGTATTCTCATCTCTAGAATTTGAGGGAAAACATCAGGACTCATGAATGTTCAATGTAATAATGTTTGTGAAGTGTTTAAAACTTATGAACTATTACCAAAAAGTTTGTAATTAGGGTTTTTTCCCCCCTATGATAATATAACTCTTCTTTGTTTTATTCTTAGCAATATGTTAAGGATACCTCTAAAAAGGGCCTTAGTAGGCCTTTCTAAGTCTTCTAAAGGATGTGGTAAGTATTTTATTTTTATTTTGCACTTGTGGATACTAGATTTTCTATCTTTGTAAATTTATTGGTTTATGGAATGTTTCTAAGCTGTAATTTGTTTTAAATAAAATAGAAACAAGTGACCGTAGTCGAATAGAATAATTTTTTAAAAGATTTATTTATATATTTTAGAGAGAAAGAGCACACAGGCAGGGGGAGGGGCAGAGGGAGAGAATCTCAAGCAGACTCCCCACTGAGCTGGAAGCCTGACCCAGGGCTTGATCTCACAACCCGGAGATCATGACCTGAGCCAAAATCAAGAGTAGACCACTTAACTGACTGAGCCACCCAGGCGACCTAGAGTAATTTTTAAAATATAACTAAACAATTTATAGGAGGTGTCATGAAATAGAAAGTAGTAGGAACTGCCTATCATTGCCAGAAAGGAAAAGCAGTCATGCTGCTTTTGAAAAGTGGTATTCCCATGAACATATTTTCAGTGGTATTAAAAGTTTCAGCTTAAGCTACCATTAAGAGTGGATAGCCATATTCTATCTGGTATTCAGGATTGGAAAAGCTTTTATCTAATTCTATATTTTATAGGTTTGCATCTAGAGAAATAGAGGGAAATGGTATAAAATTAGGAAAAATCTTAGGCTTGTAGGTTAGAGTTAATCCACTACCCTCTGCTATAATAAATTTAACTCTTTTAATTTATTTCTCATCTCAATATTTTTGATGGTCAGTTCGAACAACTGCCACAGCAGCAAGCAACTTAATTGAAGTATTTGTTGATGGTCAGTCTGTCATGGTGGAACCAGGAACTACCGTCCTTCAAGTAGGCATATGTTCTAATTCTTTATTTTTGCGTATGTTCTGGTTTTTTAAGGAATATCAATTTATTTCCTTAATACTGTTTATTTACTTCTAAAAATTTTAAGATTCCTTGATAAATGCTCATAAAAGAACTATAGATAGTAAAATTATATGAAAATAAGTTGGATTTAAAATCTTGGCATTTCAAAGTGAGCTATCATTTATCTGTTTATAACTTTCTTAGTGAATTATGGTAGTTATTTTGTTTCACTTCTGCTTTCCAAGTAAATGCCTACTAGAAATTTGAAGTTACCAAAAATAAATTATAAGTTAATATAGGTAAGTTTGGAGAAAAGGCAGTCTTTGTTGTGAACCTGCTTGATGCTTTTCACTTCATATAACTTCTCAATTTTTATAACATTTCTAAGAATGTGTCCTACAAAGCAGGTAAATGGAGGGTAGTCCGTTCTTGAATTCATGCCCTGAATACGTAATTACTCCAGATTCCTTCAGACCTAACAGAGTCGGTCATGGACAAGTGATGCTTCATTCTATCTGCGAGTTATCAAAAGCTAAAATGCTCTTTATTCATGTTCGCAGTCATTTCTAGACTATCTGCCAGGCACAGACAGGTAAATAGTAAGTATATAACAGAGGTATATGTTCAAGGTACAGTAGAGAGTATTTTTGCCAGGTACAGGAGGTGATAGAAAGAGATTTTGGGGTATCTCAAGGGATCCCTGAGGAGATTTTAAAGGATAAATAAGTGTTTGTATTTGGACAAAGAAGCTTCAAATAGCTTGGTATCATTTGGACATAAGGTGTATGTAGAAGATGAGATAGCAGGAAATCAAATTACTCTGATAGGTCCATGATGAAAGAAGATATATGTCATGCTAAAGAGCTTAGAGTTTGACCCATCAATAGTTTTCATGGCAATTAAGCAATATGACAGTGAATATAGAGGATGTTGGTTTGGAGAATAACAAGACTGGTGTGAGAGACAAAGGAGAAGTATCTTGCATTAGTAGAGCAGAAAACGAAAGGCCTAAAACAGATAGTGGCAATGGGAAGGAAAGTAAGAGGACAGATTCAGGGAGAGTGAAATGTAGATAGACAGGCCTTTAGGAACAGTGAAGAGCAGGGGAATTTTTGTGGTTTCTGGCTTTGTTAGTTTATTTGGGGATGTATCATAGGAGACAGAAATAGGTTGAATTTTAACTCTCTATAGAGCATACACATGTGCATGCCTATTTAAGTCTAAAACTTGGTATGGACTGTCAGGGCCACAGATGAGGGTTTAGATATAATCATCATCTGGAATGTGAGCTAGTATGAAGGTTGGGACCAGATCTTGCTTGTTACTTACTATACCTTCTGCATCTAGCACATAGGAAGACTCAGTACATTTTTGCTAAGTAGTTAAAACATTGGAATTTGAGGAAATTGCTTTAGAGTAAGGGCTGAAGATGGAAGAACTAACCCCAGTGGAAATTTGAATAGGTTTGTAGGCCTCGAGAAGGAGGAGTGATAATTAGGAGAGCTGGGCTAATCCCCCTTAGTAGGCAAATGGTAACTGAGGAGAGCTTCAACCACAGTGGGAGTATGAATCCTAGGTAGGGTATATGGAGCCAAATATAGAAGCAGATCATAGCCAACTAGACAGTGTGAGATGGAGTCTAATCCAAAGGAGGAGAGCTAAGCAAAGAGGAAATGCCAGTATGAAACCACTGGGACAGAGTTTGAAGGGGTGTCTTTGTGGACAGTGGTTCAGAGTGGAAATGGGGAGTCAAACCTTCAGCACAATCTGAGAGGTTGGTTAATTCAGTTTCTTCCACATAAGGTGTAGGTATGCTGAGGATTCTTAAAGAGGCAGCTTTGGAGCAAACAGAGGTAGGAATTAAGAGCAAAGAAGGAGGGAAGTCTCTTCAGGAATGAAGTAAGAATGAATGAAGGTATAGATATTTACAGATAGGAGTAATAAAGTAGGTGGGGATGACTTTCCTTCTGTGTTTTAGGCAAGACAAGGATGAGGTTAGGTTATTCTAATGCAAAAAAATGTTTACTTTGTCTTCTAGGCTTGTGAGAAGGTTGGCATGCAGATCCCTCGATTCTGTTATCATGAAAGATTGTCTGTTGCTGGAAACTGCAGGATGTGCCTGGTTGAAATTGAGAAAGCTCCTAAGGTACTTGATACCTAAAATTCCACACCATGCTGTAGAAGGTAGAAAACTTTAAATCTTGCAGCAAACTTTATTTAGAATCATTGTTGTAGTGGAGAAACCTAGCCCTGTTTAATTGTATCTGGAAATTTATTCTTTTGTGTGCAGTTAAATCTGTTCATTTCAAAACTGGAAATGCAGTGATGAAAGTGCTTTATAAATGCAAGCACTATATAACTGTAACAGATTTAGAAAGTAAAATACCTGCCAGTATTTCCACATGGCTATATGACACAGCTAGGATGTGGAATTGCGAAGCAGCACGTTGAAAGCACTTCTGCTGTTCCATTTTCAGTAGAGAAAGGGATTGCAATGAAGAGGTTCACTTTCAGTTTAATTTCATTTTGTCTCATACAGTTTTAATTCAGTAGCACCTGCTAATCAAAACATACATTGATGTTCTGTTTCACAGTCTCTTTATAAAGTAGCTTTAGCTATGAGAATAGAATTTAAAAGCATGATGTCTTATTTTTTTCTAAGAGAAATATAAAGTGTCAGGTTATCATATTGTGAATATGAAAACTGAAAAATTGAGCCTTCAAAAATACTGTTTTGTCTCTTTGTAGATGTATGACTTAATGTTTTTATATGTTGGGTTGCTTATAATTACAAGCAAATACAAGTACTTAAAAGATTTTTCCATTGAAATTTCAGGTTGTAGCTGCTTGTGCCATGCCAGTAATGAAAGGTTGGAATATCCTGACAAACTCAGAGAAATCTAAGAAAGCCAGGTACTTTAATGCTACTTAACATAGTAACTTTTCTTAGAGGAGAAAATTGCTCATTTCAGTATTTAGACCTCTCATAGATGAGAAATTCAATAACAAACTCTGAAAAAGTTGACATGTTCAGCTCATAGGAGCAGTGGAAATAAGTACACATTGAGGAGGTGAAGTCAGGTGTTTATGGTTTTGAGCCTAGAATGGAATTAGCACTAAAAGCTCTTCTTTAACAACTTGTTAAACTTGTGATGAATAGTAAATCTGGGGCTTATTGATCTGAGATTATTTCAGTAACATATTACACTGTTACTTGTTTTTGCTATGCATTTATATGTTTGTTTTTGTTTTGAGTTAATGTGAATGTTTTCTGAAGACCATTTAGCAATTTTCAGTAGTTTTATATTGTTAAAAGTCATAATTTTCTAGGTTCTATACTGATATTTTATTCCTAGATTTATATAAACATTTTTTTAGATAGTATGTCTAATACCAGAATAATGGTTGCATTGGCATTTCTGATAATAAATGTAAAATTAATACTCTAAGAAAGGATACATCTCTGAAGGTTATTTAGATAGCCTATATCCAAACCATTTTGGGTGCCAAAAATTTATATCATTTTATATATTAAAATTTTCCATACAGAGAAGGTGTGATGGAGTTCTTGTTAGCAAATCACCCACTGGACTGTCCTATTTGTGACCAGGGAGGTGAATGTGATCTGCAGGTATGTCATCTAACTTCATAAATCTTTTTTGGTTGTCTTAAGTTTTAATTTCACTAGCATCATTAGATTAACTCTCCTAATCTACTTAAGGACCAGTCCATGATGTTCGGAAGTGATAGGAGCCGATTTTTAGAGGGGAAACGTGCTGTGGAGGACAAGAATATTGGGCCATTGGTAAAGACCATCATGACTAGATGTATACAATGTACTCGCTGCATCAGGTAATGTTTTTTCTTCTGTCTTCTGGAATATCATTCACATACCTAGTTAATACTCACAAATTTGGTGAAATAACAACACTAGAAAAAATGGCAACTTTTTTTTGGTTGTAGAAGAGGGATGTTTTTAATGTTTTCTGCATAAGCCAATGAAATGAATTGTTCACTTTCAGTGAATATCAACTTCTGTTGAATTTACAAATCAAAATCTACAAGCATTAACTCTGTGATAACTTGTTGAGCTATACATGATTTGTGCAATTTTCTATATGTGTGTTATACTGCAATTAACTTATAAGCAAACGTTTATTGAACTCTTTTTTATTCAAGGACTATGCTCACCATTGAAAATATACTCATCTTTTTAGTGTTTTGAAAATCATTATCTCTTTGTGATCATAGAAAAGGAGATAATTTTGCTGGATTTGACCATTTGACAGTACATTTTTATCTTGCAGGTTTGCAAGTGAGATTGCAGGAGTAGATGATTTGGGAACAACAGGCAGAGGAAATGATATGCAAGTTGGCACGTACATTGAAAAGATGTTCATGTCTGAACTGTCTGGAAATGTCATTGATATCTGCCCTGTAGGTGCCCTGACCTCTAAGCCCTATGCTTTTACTGCCCGCCCTTGGGAAACAAGGTATTCATTGTTGTATTTTTTGACAATTTGTTTTTTGTCCTTTAGTTGGCTACTGTTCAAAAAAATTTAAGATTCATGTTCTTCCTGTATTCTAATTGTTTTGGTCTGCTAAGTTTTTATGTATTTGCTTTAAGTAAAACCCTCTTACTGGAAGGTAAGAAGATAGATTAAAGGATAGGATGAACCTGTGGAAATTAAGTACAGTTTTCTTGGAAATTAATTCCAAAGTACTTAACCACATAATTATTTTATTCACTCGTTCTTCCAAAGAGTAAAATTGTCTTGATTTTTTAAGATTTATAGTCTCCTTTCATTGTACATTAAGTTTTCAACCATGTGGCTAGATCGTATTTTATTTAGTCAGTTCCTATTATTAGACATTTAGTTTGTTTCTCTGTAGTGGTAAATCTATGATAAAAATTGTTATTGGGGTGGCTGGGTGGCTCAGTCACTTAAGTGTCCAACTCTTGGTTTTGGCTTAGATCATGATCTCAGAGTCGTGAGATCAAGCCCCACCTACAGCTCTGTGCTCAGGGCAGAGTCTGCTTCAGATTCTCCAACCCCCGCCCCCAGCTTATGCTTTCTGTCTCTCTCTCTCCCCATCTCTCAAGTGAATGAATAATAAAATCTTCTTTTAAAAATTGTTATTCATAGATTTTCTTGTATATATCTGATTCTTTTTACTAAACCAGGAAATGGAGTAGGTAGTTGCAGTATGTTTGAATTTTTTTTTTTTTTAAAGATTTTATTTTATTTATTTGACAGAGAGAGATTATGCGAGAGAGGGAACACAAGCAGGGGGAGTGGGAGAGGGAGAAGCAGGCCTCCCGCCGAGCAGGGAGCCCAATGCTGGACTCTATCCCAGGACCCTGGGATCATGACCTGAGCCGAAGGCAGACACTTAATGACTGAGCCACCCAGGCGCCCCTGAATATTTTTAAGGGTCTAGAAACATATCATTAAATTGCCCTCCATTTTTAAACTTCCACTAGAGTATATGGGAGTATCTTACAATTTTAGGCTTTAAACCACATATTTATGTATATAAAAGGATTAGGGGGATAGGGCACAGTACATAGCTGAGATGTAAGTAGAGATTTTTCTCTTTTTCTTCTGAGACTCCCATAATGCGAGCAGAAAAGAAGCTTCCATCTCCACAGCCTACCTCAGCCTGGCAGAATGTGTTCAAGGTGGTAGGGAAGGAGATGAGAACAGGCCCCAAGCCACACCACCACTGATTTCCAGCCTTCTTACTTGAACTTCAGTAGTTTTTCCCTGCATAAAAGCTTCTCATGATAGTGTATGCCTTTGGTAGATTTCCAAAGTGGTTGTTTTTGTTAATTTTGTCTAGCTTTATTTTTGCTTTTTGTGGGGAGGATTTGTCAGGCTTTTATAATCACCCATACCCAGAAATCTTACCCTCTTGCTATTTATTTTGATAATCTTATGTCTGAGATTTGGCCATTTGGAACCCTTACCATTAGCTTTTGTATTAGGTAACAATCTCTAAAGTTTTTTTTTTTTTTTAAGATTTTATTTATTTACTTGAGAGAGCATGTGAGCTCATGCATGTGTGATTGCGGGGAGGAGCAGAGGGAGAGCAGACTCTGCATACTACACAGGGCTCAATCTCACTACCTTGAGATCATGACCTGAGCCGAAATCAGCAGACACCCAACCAACCGACTGAGCCACCCAGGCGCCCCTAAAGCTTTATTTTTACAGTAGAAATTTGTGTGAAGTAGTCAAATATGAGGGTAATTTTTTTTATTGCAATTTCTCTGGTTCCCATTATTTTTAGAAATTCAGAAAGGCAAGTCATTGTAAAATTTTTTTGTTTTGGGTAAATCAGGTAACAGAAACTTTGTCCTTATTGCCAAACTCAGCATAGTAAATATATGTGTTTATTTTCTTAGAAAGACAGAATCCATTGATGTCATGGATGCGGTTGGAAGTAATATTGTGGTAAGCACAAGAACAGGAGAGGTGATGAGGATTTTACCAAGGATGCATGAGGACATCAATGAAGAGTGGATCTCTGATAAAACCAGGTATATGCTGCATCGTTTTCCTTAATTTTTGCAATTGATTTGAAGTACATTTTATGGTAATTTTAATTTTAAAACACCGTTTTTATACTTGCAAATTAGTTAATAAATAGAGACTATTGAAAATCTAGACTTTATATGGAGAATTGGACAAAATTAACAATAGTCTAGGCATATCATTGGCTTTCATATAAACTTTGACAAATATCCATCCTACAATTTTGAAGTGGATTAAGATATTTAATCTATTTCAGTTTGTTCATTAGAGAAAAGCTAAATGTAACTTAGAGCTTGTACATCATAATTTTGATAAAATATCTAAAAGTATTCAAGTTTTATAAATAAAAATGATTTTCCTTCTTCAGCTATCAGATATTTTTGTGTTGTAATTTTAAGATTATTCAAGTAGCTGAAAACAAATTATAAAAACTCAAACTTTTTAGATAATGTTTTAGTTTTGGATGATGTGCATAAAATATTTATTCATCTTTCAAAAAACCTGGAATAATTATTTGTATCCAAGAATTTATCAGTCTATTTGACACTTTAACTCGTACTATATTTAAATAACATTTTTTTTAGATGTTAAACTTGAAAACTATAGTTGCCTCTTAAGCAGGATTCCACAAATGGTATAATTTCTTTTATCTAGATTTGCCTATGATGGGCTAAAACGTCAAAGACTTACCGAGCCGATGGTCAGAAACGAAAAGGGGCTTTTAACCTATACCTCCTGGGAGGATGCACTCTCTCGTGTAGCTGGAATGGTAAAAAATTGAAATATAGAATAAATAGTATTTGTGATTTTCAAGGAACATCTTTGTAGCAGAGTGTGGGAATGTGTGTCTCTTCTCTTCTTTCCTCTTATCAGGATTGCCTTCCATTTAACATTTATTAAGAACCATATGCCAGATATCATGCATGAAGTAGCGATGTAGAGACCACTAACACAGGGTACCTACTTCCCACAATCTTGTAGTAGTTATGGTAAGACCTATAGTGAGTCAGGTATCATGTGCTTGGGTAGTTGTGCAAGAAATGATGTATGAGAGAGCACCTGGGAGGAGTACCTAACCAGGCTAGCATATCAAGGATGCCTTCCTACATAAGGTGAATTAGGCAAAGTCTAAGAATGAATGCAAACTTGCCAGAGCAAAAATGGAGGGAGTGGCTTTCTAGTCAGAGAAAGGCAATGTACATAAAGGGCTTGAGGGAATGGTAGATACTTCTGAAGAAGTCTTCATCTTCCAAACCTCATCACGAGGCCCCTTTGTTTCTAATTTAAAACAAATACCTTCCCTCCAAGCTGGTGGTATTACTAACCTTGGCCTCACATACACCTTGCTTCTCACTTTTAGATTAATAATTAGTGTAAGCCTTTTTAGTCAAAAGTTCGTTGCTTTTTTTATACTTTAAAATGACTATTGTTGGGACACCTGGGTGGCTCAGTCGGTTAAGTGGCTGCCTTCGGCCAGGGTCATGATCCCAGGGTCCTGGGATCGAGTCCCACATCGGGCTCCTTGCTCAGCAGGGAGCCTGCTTCCCTCTGTCTCTCCTTCTGCTTGTGCTCTCTCTGTCAAATAAATAATATCTTTAAAAAAAAAAATGACTTGTTTTGTTTTCTGAGCAGTGGTCTTTGCTGAATGGAGGTTTTTTGGTGATGCCCTTTTTATCCATTTCTAGTTGCAGAGTTTTCAAGGCAATGATGTGGCAGCAATTGCAGGTGGCTTGGTGGATGCCGAAGCCCTAATAGCTCTCAAAGATTTGCTTAATAGAGTGGACTCTGACACCTTGTGCACGGAAGAGGTCTTCCCCACTACAGGAGCTGGGTGAGAACTACGAAGCTAGCATCTAGGCCTGCTTTGTTGTTGTTTTTGTACAAGTTGTGTATAAATCAATACATCTGGTGCACCTGGCTGGCTACAGGTAACTTTGGTATTGGTAGAGTGGGTAACTTAATCTCGGGGTCCTAAGTTCAATCCCACATTGGTGGTAGAGTTTACTTAAATAAATAAATAAGTACATCTGTGGCATCAATAAGTGATACGTGACAGCTTGGATTCTCCATCATACCCACCAGTTTCTTTTCACTTAGAGACCAAAGTCAAGCCAGGAACTGTTGGAGAATCCCAGTTATTAAAAAGTATCTGAATGGCACCTGGGTGGCTCAGTTTGTTAAGCATCCAGCTCTTGATTTCGGCTGAGGTCATGATCTCAGGGTCCTGGGAAGAAGCCCCGAGTAGGCTCCCCACTCAGCGGGGTATCTGCTTGTCTCCCTCTCTCTCTCTGCCCCTCCCCCTGCTTGCATGCGCACTGTGTCTCTCTCACATAAATAAATCTTAAAAAAAAAATCTGAAACTTTGATGTAATTTAGAAATACTTCATAAGAATTTTTTGGAAATAACCATGGGCTTGTTGACATGAGAATATTGCATGGATTATCATTGTGTATTAGTTTTGAAGTAAACCTGCATTTTTTATTTTGTATTTCTAGCACAGATTTGCGTTCCAGTTATCTTCTTAATACTACAATTGCTGGTGTGGAAGAGGCAGATGTTGTCCTTCTGGTTGGTACAAATCCACGTTTTGAGGCACCACTATTTAATGCTAGAATTCGGAAGAGGTTAGTAGTAATATTGAGGGTTTTAAAAATGTTTATATAATAATTTATTTTACATTTGAAAAATGACTGTTTTAGTTAATTCCTAATAGTGTTAGTGGGAATGAGACTCAAAAGGTAATTGGAGTGCAGCTTCTAAAAGGTCCATTCCCTCCCTCTCCCCCTGCTAGTCTTTATACTTTGTCCTCTTATTTTGACATAATTCACGATGCACCAATTTTTCCATGATTTCTTTTATAATGATTTTTTTATAATGATTTTTTTTCCTGCTCAGGATTCAGTCTCAAGTCACACATTGCAGTTAGTGTCATGACTCTTCAGTTTTCTTTTTTGACGTTTTTTTGAAGAGCACAGGCAGTTACTTTGTAGAATACCTCCATCTTTTCATATCTTCGAGACTTATGAATAGGTTGGTATAATTTATTGTCTATACTGTGACATTGTTGAGAGTGAAAGGGGGAATTGTTAATGCTGCAGGATACAGATGAAAACCACTGTCTCAGACAAACAATATATGGTCACCATGTTTATAACTAGTTTTAGAAGAGCTGGATCCATACTTCCCTGTCAAAGAGAATAAAGTGATGTAGTTTATTTTCATTAACTATATTTAAATCACCTTAATGGATAATTAGGAGATAATTGACTCTGCTGTGTAAATATGGTGAAATAAAAATTATACATCATTTATTCTAAAATTAAAGTTTTTATAGCTTGCTTAGGGTTTGCATTCTTCACAGGAAATTAATTCACTGACTTACCTTGGTGTGCATTTTTACAACACTGTTATTTTGAAAGGTACACAATAAATTATATCTGTTAAGGCCACATGTTCTGTGACTGCTTTGTGCTTTTAACATTTGTAACATAAGTAGATGTAGCCCCTAGCATTGATGAGACTGGTGACTATGCTAATTTAGTAATTTAGCTCTAAAAACTTTGTCGTTTTTATTTCAGCTGGCTTCACAATGACTTAAAAGTGGCCCTTATTGGCAGCCCAGTGGATCTCACTTATAGATATGACCATCTGGGAGATTCTCCCAAAATTCTTCAAGACATTGCTTTCGGTAGCCATCCATTCAGCCAGGTGCTCTCAAGTTATACATATCTACTTTTGTTGATTTTTAAGTATTATTATTTTTAAGAGTTATTATTTTTGTCATAATGATACGTGTTTACTATTAAAAATTATAGCAATATAGAAAAGAAAAATGGAAAAAAATAAAACATTACCCCAGGTTCCACCAACCCAAACAAGAATTTTTTATTTTTTTAAAGATTTTATTTATTTATTTGACAGAGAGAGAGTGTGTGCACAAGCAGGGGGAGTGGCCAGCAGAGAGAGGGAGAAGCAGGCTCCCTGCAGAGCACGGAGCTCGATGCAGGGCTGGATCCTAGGACCCTGGGATCATGACCTGAGCCAAAGGCAGACGCTTAACCAACTGAGCCACCCAGGCACCCCCAAACAAATATTGATGAAACATAATCATTTCTCTATTCATATATAGAGCAAGATGGATGAACAGATAAGCAGACAAAAATGAGCTTATATTATATGTGTTATTTTATATACCAGAGCTTAATTTTACTTGAAATTATCAGAAAAGAAATTGACGTAAGGGGTGCCTGGGTGGCTTAATCCGTTAAGTGTCTGACTCTTGATCTCAGCTCAGGTCATGATTTCAGGTTCATGAATTCAAGCCTCTCCAAGTTGAAGTGCAACTGAAGCAATTAAACTTTGAAGTTAAGGGAAATCTTTCTTTACTGCAAGAGTTATTCTTAAATTTCATGAGTCCTTTTAATGATTTTTTCATTACTGAGTACTTTATTTACATTCATTTCATTGCTTTCTGGTATTAATAGGTTTTTACTTACTTTTCCAAGAGGGGCTCATAAGTACCCTATTCGTTGGGTTCTTGCTTGCTTGCGAATGTCTGTTTTATTACCGAAGAGAGCCTTGGCAGAATACAAAGTTCTAGGATCACACTTTTTTCCTCTCTGAACTTTATATAGACACTGCCTTTTGTTACTGTGGAGAAGCCTGATGTCAGTCATATTTCCTCCCAACCCTGTCCTAATTTTTTTTTTTTTACTGTCTAGATACTTTTTTTGAACCTTTATAGTGGGTTCTTTATCTTTGAAATTTAATAACTTCAGAATTAACAGTGGTGGTTCTCTTCACTTTTTTATGGGACATGGAGCACCTTTCATTGTGAAAATTCAAGGCTCTTTTTATTTTAGTATTTGTGCATGTGTGGTGGAATGCTGATTATTAAAAAATGTAAGAGGTTTCTGTTTTCACATAACAGTTCTGGAGGGTAGGCAGTTGGACAGATGTCCAAGGATGTCATCAAGGAAGGACATTCCTTCCTGCTTTACTACCTCAGTGCCTTTGCTTATTCATGTGTATTTGAGTGAACTTCTTCTCATGGTTCCAAGATGGTGTAGCCTTAGGTGTAATCAAGTGGTACAAAGCGGCTAAGCGCAATTCCTTTGTTTTGAATAGGAAAAACATTATCATGATTGCAGTGATCAAAAATGCAAAAGAAATACATATTGAAAAGTATTCCTCTTTTCTAATTCCCATCTCCATGCCCCAGAAAATGATCAGTGTTTTTCAGAAGTTTTTTTCTATACTAGATTTAAATATATTTTCTGTTAGTGGTGTTCCCTTCATTAAGAACTCCTAACAAGGGTCACCTAGGTGGCCCATCAGTTAAGTGCCTTTGGCTCAGGTCATGATCCTAGAGTCTTGGAATTAAGCCCTGCATCGGGCTCACTGCTCCCCACGCTTGTGCTCTCTCTCTCTGACAAATAAATAAATAAAATCTTTTTAAAAAAACAAAAAGAACTCCTAACAACAACAACAAAAAAACCTAACAGATAGTGGTTCCCCTTTTGTATCTTTTCTGTCATTTTTCCTTTGTTCTTTTGTTCTTTTTCAGTTTGTTTTATATTATTTCCTGTAGTCTGCTTTTCTTGTCCCTGCATTTAAGGTCATGTTTTATTTTGTTTTTTATTGTTTCTGGAATGGTGTTCATTTCTAATTTGTTTCTCTTCCAGTTCTTTCCTGAGTTCTGTGACGAAAAGCTCCTTCTACTGTATAATACTGTTGTGTCACTTTTTTATGCTTTTTTTTTTCATGTGAGAAAAAGTGTGTTTTTTATTTTCTATAAGTCTATTGAAAACTATTTTTCTGGGCGCCTACAACATATTGTAGATGCAAATTAAAAAGATTTTTTAATCAAAGTTCTTTTTTTAAATAGGTATTACATGAAGCTAAAAAACCAATGGTGGTTGTAGGCAGTTCTGCACTCCAGAGAAGTGATGGGGCAGCAATTCTTGCAGCTGTTTCCAACATTGCTCAAAAGATTCAGATGAGTAGTGGTGTTACTGGTGATTGGAAAGTTATGAATATCCTTCATAGGTATGTTGGGTGATTGTTTTATTATATACTGTAAGATTCAAGTAATTTTGTGTACATGTGTTACTGTTGTACTATCACATTTAGATTTACTAATAGCTTAATATTTAGCAATGTCTCAGTAGTAGATGTGAAAGAGATGCCTTTATTTTCTGTGTGAAAACCGAAGATAATAAATAATATTTAAAATATTTGAGGGGCGCCTGGGTGGCTCAGTTGGTTAAGTGTCTGCCGTTGGCTTAGGTCGTGATCCCAGGGTCCTGGGATCGAGCCCCATGTAGGGCTCCCTGCTCAGCAGGGAATCTGCTTCTTCCTCTGCCCCTTCCCCTGCTTGTGTTCTCTCTGTCTCTCAAATAAATAAATAAAATCTTAAAAAAAATATATTTGAAATAGCAGTGCTGAGAAAATCTTGAAAATCTGTATTATATTAGTATATTTTGGTTCAAAAATTGCAACAAGCCCTCTGACTTTGATTAAATGATAAAAATGTAAGCTAACGTGAGAATTCAACATAAGGGAAGTTTTTTTCTGACTGTATTAATACACATTTGAAGCACCTGGGTGGCTCAGTTGGTTAAGCGTCTGACTCTTGATTTTGGCTCAGGTCAGTGATCTTAGGGGTCGTGAGATTGAGCCCCGAGTCACGCTCCGTGCTGGGTGTGGAGCCTGCTTGAGGTATTTCTCCCCCTTCCTCTACCCCTCCCCCCCCACCCCTGCACACACCTCTCAAAAAAAAATAGTAATACACATTTGTTTTAGGAAGTTGGAAAGAGAAGAAAATATGAAAATGGAAATTATTCTTCTACAAATTATAGATAATTACTGTTCCTACTTTTGTCTGGTTCTTTTTCCTGTGTAAATATTTTTTAGTTATATAGTTGAAATCATACTGTGTGAACAGTTTTGTATCCTGATTTTGATCAATTTTCATTACCATATAAAATTTCTTCCTGTAATTAGAAATTTTTTATAAACTTGAATGGCTGTTTAATATCATGAATATGTACAATTTTTTAGCCATTTAATTCTTGTTAACATATAAATTGATACTAGTCTTTAAACTATAAATAATGCAATGATACACAGATACTTAGGAACTTTATATTATTTTCTTACAGTGGATTTCTAAAAGTAGAGCTCTTAAGGTAAACAGGATAAGCATTTCTGAGGCTCTTAATGCATATTTCCAAGTTTTAGAAATGTAACAGGGACACCTGGGTGGCTCAGTCAGTTAAGCATCTGCCTTTGGCTTGGGTCATGATCCCGGGGTCCCGGGATCGAGCCCTGCATCGGGCTCCTTGCTCAGTGGGGAGCCTGCTTCTCCCTCTCCCTCTCCTGCTGCTCCCCTGCTTGTTTCTCTTTCTCTCTCTCTGACAAATAAGTAAAATCTTAAAAAAATAAAAATAAAAAAGAAATGTTGTAACAGTTTTACCTTAGTAAATAAGTTTTCCCATTTCGCATAATCCTTTTGATCTTAAGAATTATTTTTCAGGGCACCTGGGTGGCTCAGATGGTTAAGCGTCTGCCTTCGGCTCAGGTCATGATCCCAGGGTCCTGGGATTGAGTCCTGCATCGGGCTCTCTGCTCCTTGGGAGCCTGCTTCTCCCTCTGCCTCTCTCTCTCTCTCTCTCTCTGTCTCTCATGAATAAATAAATAAAAATCTTTAAAAAAAAAAAAAAAAAGAATTATTTTTCAGGGGGCGCCTGGGTGGCTCAGTCAGTTAAGCTGACCTTTGGCTCAGGTCATGATCCCAGGGTCCTGCGATCGAGCCCCTCATTAGGCTCCCTGCTCAGTAGGGAGTCTGCTTCTCTCTCTCAAATAAATAAAATCTTTTTTAAAAAAAAAGTTTTATTTTTCAAATTTTTTAAGGATTGAGGCTAAACACTTTTAAATATGATAGGCAAATTTTTTAAATTTTAAAAGTATTTGAATACATTGTGGGTTTTTTTTAAGATTTTATTTGAGAGAGAAAGAGAGAGCATGGGGGAGGGGCAGAGGGAGAGGGAGAAGCAAACTCCTCACTGAGCAGGGAGCCCGATGCGGGACTCAATCTCAGGACCCTGGGATCATGACCTGAGCCGAAAGGCAGATGCTTAACCAACTGAGCCACCCAGGCACCCTTGAATAAATTCTTAAACATTAATTTCAGTTTCAATGTTATATTTCTGTTTGGTTTAATTTGGCATTGTAGATCATCATGTAAACATTTTTTTTTTTAAAGATTTTATTTATTTATTCATGAGAGACAGAGAGAGAGAGAGGCAGAAGGAGAAGCAGGCTCCCAAGAAGCAGGGAGCCCTATGCGGGACTCGATCCCAGGACCCTGGGATCATGACCTGAGCCGAAGGCAGACGCTTTACCATCTGAGCCACCCAGGTGCCCCATCATGTAAACATTTTTAAAAACTTTATATTTTTTAGGTAGAGTTTATTTGCATTGTTCACCTCTGGATCTTTTCTAGCCACCATTTTTACTTCTTATTTTTAGTTCACTTTTCCATCTGTGTCTTTATTTATACAGTTTTGTTTTTCTGAATGGGTACCAAAATTAATTAAACTTTTTAAAAAATTCCCAGTTGTCTAACATTGTATTTCTGATTCCTTCTCACAAATGACTACTTGGGTAGGTACAAAGATGACAGTCTTTTTTCCTTTAATACTAAGTATTTCTGCACCCTTTCTTTCATTTAATATTTTAGGGAGGATCTGATGTAATCTCAGTTTTGTCACTGAGGATGACCTGACTTTGTATGTGTGTCTGCCTCCTCACCCTTTGGGCTCCTTATTTTTGACGTTAAAAAAAAAAAAAAAATTCTACCAGATTTTAAGTAGGTGACACTCAGATGTCATTACTTTTGCCTGGGAATATCATAGAGACTCCCATTATCAAATTGAAATGTTTTGATTTTTTTTTCTTTTAAGCTCAGAAAAAGGTTATTGGTTTACTTTTACTTAGTTATTTGTTCTCATGCAGAAGCCTCTTTTGCTATGCATTGATTGGCCTTGAGACTTTTGGCTCATAATTTTTCTCATATCTTTTTTCTCTGGGTTTAGAGAAAATTTCTTACATTTTGTTCCATCATTTTGTGAGTTTTCATTCTGGAGAACGCTGACTTTGTTACAATTTTTAATTTATTAACCTTGTTTGTCATTCTTACAAGATTTCCTTTTTATGAAAGTTCATTTTAGTTTATTAGGACCTATCTTTTTTTTTTCTTTAAGATTTTATTTGTTCATTTACTTGAGAGAGAGAGAGAGGGCACATGAGCAGAGGGAGAAGCAGAGGGAGAGAGATAAGCAGACTCCACGCTGAGAGCGTAGCCCGACATGGGGCTCAATCCCACAAACTTGAGATCATGACCTGAGCCGAAACCAAGAGTCAGACACTCAACAAACTGAGCCACCCAGGTGCCCCAGGACATATCTTTTATTGTAAAGGCAGACATAAGCTTACTCAATTTGTTTTCCAGGATGAAGTGGACTGTGTCTTAAGTTAATGTGAGTCTCTGCCCAGATTTTTGAGAGAGACATGTCAAGACTTACACTGAGGGAAGTTAAGAAGGAACTGTTGGGGCAGAGGGATTTGTTTTGAAATGGGAAAGTATGAGTCCTCCAACTTTGTTCACTTTTATGATAGGTTGGCTATTTTGGGTCCTTTGCATTCCATATGAATTTTAGAATCAGCTTGTCCATTTCTGTAAATTATTCATCTGGATTTTTGATAGGGATCACACGGAATTTGTAAGCTCAGTTGGGGAGTATTGCCATCATAACAGCATGAAGTCCTCTAATCCATGAATGTGGGATGTCTTTCCATTTAGTAAGGTCTTGAATTTCTTTCAAGTTGTTTTGTACTTTTCATTATATAAATCTTATATTTATTGTTAAGTTTTTTTAAAAGCATTTTATGCTTTTGATGTTATCCAGAGTTTGACAGAGTAGCAGCATCTAGTAGGAGTTGGTTTGACCTGATCTCCTCCCCTAACAAATAGGTAAAACACCAACTTGCTTTATATACAGTAGGTCCTCAGAATGGCTATTTCTAGAAAGAAAGTTAGTAATAGCAAACTGGACCAGACTCCCAGTTGTTCAGAGTATAGTTATTCCAGACCCCTTATTTATTTATTTATTTAAGATTTTATTTATTTATTTATTAGAGAGAGAGCATGAGAGGGCTGAGGGGCAGAGGGAGACAGCAGACTCCCCGCTGAGCAGGGAGCCTGATGCAGGGCTCAATCCTGGGACGCCAGGATCATGACCTGAGCCAAAGGCAGTTGCTTAACCAGCTGAGCCACCCAGGCGCCTCCAGACCTCTTTTTTAAAGGATTATTTTCTGCTTATAAGAGTAATATATGGGGCGCCTGGGTGGCTCAGTTGGTTAAGCGACTGCCTTCGGCTCAGGTCATGATCCTGGAGTCCCAGGATCGAGTCCCGCATCGGGCTCCCTGCTCGGCAGGGAGTCTGCTTCTCCCTCTGACCCTCCCCCCTCTCATGCTCTCTCTCTCTCAGTCTCTCTCTCTCAAATAAATAAATAAAATCTTTAAAAGAAAAAAAAAGTAATATATGCTCATAGAACATATATGTACTAATTATATTGTTTTCTCCAAGTTAAAGTTTTATGAGTGCTGTTTTAATTTCTCCCTTTTGGTTTTCAAAATCATATGACTTTTCTCTAATGACTGCTTTTGGCTTATCGTGTTTTATATCTTGCTCTATTGAATAAGAATCAATTTAGGACAGGGCGCCTGGGTGGCTCAGTTGGTTAAGCGACTGCCTTTGGCACAGGTCATGATCCTGGAGTCCCAGGATCGAGTCCTGCATCGGGCTCCCTGCTCAGCAGGGAGTCTGCTTCTCCCTCTGACCCTCCCCCCTCTCATGTGCTCTCTCTCAAATAAATAAAATAAAAAAATAAAAAAAGAATCAATTTAGGACAATTTCAATTAGCATAAAGTTTCCAGAATTATTCAATTAACTATTATCTCATGAAGTGGGGTGCCTGAGTGGCTCAGTTTGTTAAGCATCTGACTCTTAATTTTGGCTCAGATCATGGTGTCATGGTTGTGAGATTGAGCCCCGCATTGGGCTCTGTGCTGGGTATGGTTAGGATTCTCTCTCTCCCTGTCCCTTCCCCCCCCCCCCAAAATAAGAAATAACAATAAATAAATATGTCATGAAGAGACAGTGTTCTAAGCATCTTGTTTTTTTGTTTGACACCCTTAAAACAGTAAAATATTGCTATTTCTGGTTTTGACATCTATTTTAAAATGGGTTAAGAAGATGAAGGAAGGTTTTTGTCAGCATTGAATAGAAAAGATTAAGTATCATTTCAGGAGTCACATTTAATTTTTTATAATGATAACACTGCAGGTGTGCTAAAAATCCATAATTGTTTTACAGGATTGCAAGCCAGGTAGCTGCTTTGGATCTTGGGTATAAACCTGGGGTGGAAGCAATTCGTAAGAACCCTCCCAAAGTGCTGTTTCTCCTGGGAGCAGATGGAGGTTGTATCACTCGACAGGATTTGCCAAAGGATTGTTTCATTATTTATCAAGGTAAGTAGCATCTGTGATACCAGAAACAGAAAAGAATTCTGCGCTATGTAGATTAGAAACTATATGGCAGTATATTTAGTGGATTGACTATTTTCCATTCAGGAATTTCCCCCCAACACACACACCTCAGTATTTTTTTAAACCAAATCATAGGTTTTATTAGTTATATAGTTGATACTACTAAGAATTATTACCTGGTGGGGCACCTGGGTGGCTCAGTCAGTTTTAAGCATCTGCCTTCGGCTCAGGTCATGATCCCAGGGTTCTGGGATCTAGCCCCACATCAGGCTCCCCGGGAGCTTGCTTCTCCCTCTCCTTCTGCCCACCCCCCCACCACTTGTGCATGCTCACTCTCTCTTTCTCTCTCAAATAAATAAATAAAATCTTTTTTTTAAAAAAGGTTATTGCCGGGCGCCTGGGTGGCTCAGTTGGTTGGGCGACTGCCTTCGGCTCAGGTCATGATCCTGGAGGCCCGGGGTCGAGTCCCGCATCAGGCTCCCTGCTCGGCAGGGAGTCTCCTTCTCCCTCTGACCCTCCCCCCTCTCATGCTCTCTCTCTGTCTCATTCTCTCTCTCAAATAAATAAAATCTTTAAAAAAAAAAAAAAAAGGTTATTGCCTGGAAAAAAAAAGAATTATTACCTGATGATATTTAGTAACAAAGAATTAGAAGAAACCTATGCCTCACTAATAGGAATGGTTAAATTATGGTTTATTTATACAATTAAATATTATGTAACATTAAAATTCAGCTTTTCAAAGAATATTTAGTATTATTACATAATCAGAGGAAAGTACTTTTACATAAACAGTGTTTAAAAATCATGAGTGCTGGGGCACCTGTGTGGCTCAGTTGTTAAATGTCTGCCTTCAGCTCAGGTCATGATCCTAGGGTCCTGGGATCGAGCTCCGCATCGGGCTCCCTGCTTGGGGGGAAGCCTGCTTCTCCCTCTCCCGCTCCCCCTGCTTGTGTTCCCTCTCTCACTGTGTCTTTCTCTGTCAAATAAATAAAATCTTTAAAAAAAAAAAAAAATCATGAGTGCTGAGTTACAAGACATTTTTTTTTTTTAAAGATTTTATTTATTTATTTGAGAGAGAGAGAATGAGAGAAAGCACATGAGAGGGGGGAGGGTCAGAGGGAGAAGCAGGCTCCCTGCAGAGCACGGAGCCCGATGCGGGACTCGATCCAGGGACTCCAGGATCATGACCTGAGCTGAAGGCAGTCGCTTAACCAACTGAGCCACCCGGGCGCCCAAGTTACAGGACATTTAATGAAATACATTTGATAGTACTTCTTTGGCTTTTTTGTTTTTGACTCATTTTCTTGAACTCTCACTCATTGTAAATATATTTCCCTGGAATAAATGGAGTCCAGAGTACTCCCGGATATTTTACAGAGAAAAGTATTACATAACTCTCAAGTTCATTTTACACAAACGCCATAAATTTATAATAGGCTTTTTATTGCCATGGCACATAAAGAGCATTATAGAATATTTAGTATCTTTAGTTTGATAAAGTTAAATCAAAATGCATAATTTACATCCAGTTCCTAGTCCTATCCAGAAATAATCATTGATGGCTTTGGAAATGTATGCTTCATATATTTTTCTGTTACATACAAAAATGTACACAAATGAGATTATTAGACTTTATATATTGCTCTATAACTTTCTTTCATTCAACTCAAGGTTTTTTTTCCTTCTAACAGTTTTGTTAAACTATTAAAACTTTCATTATACTATTTCAGTCTTTCATTATACTGTTTTCTATAATATCCTGTTTATGTTCTTTTCAGTATTACCACTGTCATTTCTGTTCTACATTTTTTGTTCCTCCACCATTTCAGTATGTTTTACTGAATTTCACTAACATACATCTGAGCATTTCCACTTTGTAATCAAGAGAAATAATATACCTCATTGCCCATGATGTAGGTTTGTACTATATTATACATATTTCTGTATTTACAAAAAATAATCTGGGAAGGTAGCAAATGCTTATTAGTAATTTTCTTTGGGAAGGGAGTTGAATTGTGGGCAAGGTGGGCTTTTTATTCCAAAATTCTTTTATATATTTTTGTATGTTACAATTTTGTAAACACTTTTGTAATTCTTAATGGGATATAAAAAGGATATCTTGTGTGTTCATGTATGATACCTAATCAGTTTTTTGCTAAAATATGGTTTGTCCTTTCCATCTTTTCGCAGGACATCATGGTGACGTTGGCGCTCCTATAGCTGATGTTATTCTCCCAGGCGCTGCTTACACAGAGAAATCTGCTACTTATGTCAATACTGAGGGCCGAGCTCAGCAGACTAAAGTAGCAGTGACACCTCCTGGCTTGGCAAGAGAAGACTGGAAAATTCTAAGAGCCCTCTCTGAGGTATTTGTTCTTAGTGATGCTGCTAATGGGATGTTTGACTTGTTAGCTTCTCAAAATGATTTTCAAAGTCAAGGAGAATGCAAGCCTGATGTGCAGGGATAATTTGAATAATCTCTGTGAGACAAAAGTATTCAGAAAATGGGCGTTTGATATTGGTATTTTTATTTTTGGCTTGTTTTTTGCCTAAAAACACTTCTTTTAACTCTTTATTATAAAAAAAGAAAAAGCATGAGATTTAAAATAATATACGTTGTCTGTAAACTTTGTATATGATCAATATCAAGTTAGCAGAAGCATTCAGATTTAGTATAGCATTATCCCTTTAATCATTTATTTCATACTCAGTCTGATTTCTAAAGAGAAATTACTAATGTACTGACAGCTGTTTATGAATTAGAATTTTTGTCAATTGTGTTTTCCTCTTAATTACTTAATGTACTTGCAAATGGACACCCAATAGAATTTTCATTAGCACAACATTATTTCACTATAGTTGCAGTTATGTATGATTTGAATTGTTTTAAGTACTAAAGCTTTATGTCAGTTCTGGAGACCTGTTATTTGTAGATTGCAGGTATGACTCTTCCATATGATACTCTGGATCAAGTAAGGAACAGATTGGAAGAAGTCTCTCCTAATCTTGTCCGATATGATGATGTCGAAGGAGCCAATTATTTCCAGCAAGCAAATGATCTCTCTAAGGTAAAAACTTGCCTGTATTCAGTTTTCATAGTAGTGTATCCTCTGATGTTAGTTTTCAATTCTATTATTGACCTCATAATCCTTTTTTTTGCAGCTAGTGAACCAACAGGTTCTTGCTGATCCACTTGTTCCACCTCAGCTAACAATAAAAGACTTCTACATGACAGGTATGCATTTGTTAGCATGACTGCCAAATATGAAAGGTGGGAAGGAATAAGATCACCTAATTATGATTCCAACCTGTTTATGAGAATATTTGATATTTTTATTTAATCTTTGAAAACTTTGAAACATCAGAGGTAATGTAATTTCTGATTTTACTCTAATTTTCTGATTTTACTCTAATTTCTTTTGTTTCTGAAATGTAAGCAGATTTTAAATATAAAATTTACTGTTGTGTATAAAATCACCATATAGCAATTTAGGGAGAATTTTTTTTAAGTGACAACTGTGAAGGTTTTTTCTGAGAATTACAGTAGAAACATTAAAACACTTAAATGTGAAGTATGTTAAAGAGTGTTTCTGATGGACATTGTTAGGGATGCTTTTAAGGAATGTGGACTTACTGATACTTGTTTACTGCAGATTTTACATTTGATGTAACATGATATAACACTTGATATAATATCTGTGTTATGAGGTAGTTGACAGATGATTTTAAATAATTTTCTACCTAAAAGCAGATAATATATTTTTAAAAATTTTTAAGCTTGTTTATCTAAGAATATTTTTAATTGGTTTTTTACTTATGTTATAAAAGTTATGTTTATTGTAGAATACATACCTAAGCCCAAAGGGCAAAGAGCATTTACTATGATACCACTATCCAGAAATAACTAGTTTTATTTTTTTAACATTTTGTCAATCATACAAGGATATACACATATATTATTCATTTAAAAAATAAAAGATTTGATGATTCATTTACTGGGGGAAGGGGTTGACAGCTTTATTGAAATACCATTTACAGACCATAAAATTCACTGAATTCAGTGGATTTTATTTTTTTTATTATTATTTTTAAGATCTTATTTGAGAGCGAGAGAGATAGAGCGCATGCACGCGCGCGCGTACACGAGTGGAATGAAGGGGCAGAGGCAGAGGGAGAAGCAGACTCCCCGCTGAGCAGGGAGCCCAACGTGGGGCTAGATCCTAGGATCCAGGGATCATGACCTGAACCGACTGGGCCACCCAGGCGCCCCTGGATTCAGTGGATTTTAGTACACATACTATTTTATAAACTTGTTTTCAATAACAGTATTGTGCACATATTTGTCCTATCTTTAGTACTTTTCTATAATATTTGTAAGGGTTGCATAATGGCATATTGTATGGCTATATGTAATTATTTAATCATTCCTAGGAGTACTTACCAAAAGCATTTAGCTTATAAGGGGCTTATTTTCTGGAGTTCTTCTTCACATTAGATACAGTTACATAGAATTTTATAGTCTTTTTTTTGGTTGTTCCTGAGTGTGTGCAACACGAAAGTTTTACTGTATGCTTTTTAAAAAATTGTATTATCAAAATTTTCTTAATATCTTTCAGACTCAATTAGCAGAGCTTCACAGACAATGGCCAAATGTGTCAAAGCTGTCACGGAGGGTGCCCAGGCAGTAGAGGAACCATCCATATGCTGAAACTTCTACTAGGAACCCCATTTTGTTACAAATAATTAATGGACAGTTATGTTGGAATGATCTCCTACAGGTTTATTCTTTAAAAAATAATCTGAATGATGTAATACTTAAGGTCGTACCTTGCTTATTTGAAAATGATACTGCAATTATCAGTGAACTTTGAGGTTTCAAAGACATTTATGTATTGTGTGTAAACGTTAAATTGTTTAATAAACAATGTATACAGATGCTTTTTCCATAAAAGTATTGGCAATCTTTGTGACACATACAAAGAAAATTCTTAAAATACGAGTTTTTGTTCATTTTCATTGATCATTTATGTTTGTAAAATGTATGAAATAAGAGCTTCCATTAGGACCCACTGGTAGTTTCTAACACTCAAGGAAAGATTTGAGCATTCTGTCAAACTGGGTAAATAGAAAAAATATGTGTAACATAATCACACATCAGATACGTATCTTGGACAACTATAAATAATAATAATCATAATAATGATAGATAATGATTATTTAGCTTTTTCTGTGTGCTAAGCACTCTGATTTTACATGCATTATCTTGTTTTGTCCTTGCTACAACTCTGAGGTAGTGTTACCTCATTTTACAGATGAAGAAACTGAAGCCTAGGGATATTTGGTAGCTTGCCCAAGGTCACAGAAAAATAGTCAAGGACTCCAGCCTAGTTCTCTCTGACTCCAAAGCTCATTGTTCTTACCTGCTATACATAATTCCCTCCCATTAATACAGATCTTATAGGTTGTTACTTCTAAGAATTAGCATTGAGAATCTTAATGGATAGTACATTTTTCTGTTTTCTCTTGAATCTGTTTATAGATCATGGTGATTTATATGACATTTTTCTTTGTATAAGAGATTACACACACATGCATCACTGGAGTGATGGAGTTAAGGGATGTAATTTAGGTCTTTGTTGATGTTCCATATTTATTATATTAACCATCTGCACTTTTAAGTCAACTATATTCCAATAATAGAAGACAAAGCTAAAAGCTTTCATAATTTTCAGTTGTCAAAACAAAAAGGAGGTAAAATTTTATAATTGATCTAGGAGATAATTTAAAGCCATATTAAATGTTTTTCAGAATCTATGGTCAGAATCCTTTTGTTGTGTAATCCTTATTCCTGCTTTCACTAAAAACTTAGCCCAATTATAGGATGCGATATTCCTGATACAACAATAAGATTTTTTAAATAGTAGTATGTCATCGATACTTTATCTTCAAAAAGATAAATTATACAGAATTTGTCACCTGTAACAGTTTTTTCCGAACTGTTTATTTTTTCATTTAGCAATACATTATGAAGTGTATTTTGCTTAAAGTACTTAAAATTCTAAGTTGCCTGAAATTGTACAAATTCTTGCTGAAAGTCTTTGAATTCAGTACAAACTTTCTGTCCTCCTCTACTTTCTTTATCCCTTAGCACTGTAGCTGACCTCGAGGGGGCATATGCTTCCAGTTTTGTATTCTACACAGTACTTTTCAGTGAACGTGTGTAGACTTCATAGGCCTGTTGGTGAGGGAATATTGTGTTCAAATGGAGAAGAGGTGGTATACGACCACGATGGTCCAGAATCCTTGGGCTGCCATCTAGGCAACATGTGTTGAACTTATAATTTTATAAAGCATACCTTGTCTGGGGTAAGTAGTGCTCAATAAAATTGGCTGGTTTTTACATGAAGTAAACATGAAAGTCTGTCTAGTGGGCACTTATTAATCACGTAATGCGAAATAATAAGGTTATCGTGAACATAAACATTAAAGGTGGTTGCTAGGGGGGAAAAAAGGCTTTCTGAAGAAGAGCCCCCAAATAGAAGAAAAATACATATAGGTGAGAATAACCTGGCTGATGGAATTATGATTCTTTTTTTTTTTTTTAAGATTTTTATTTATTTATTTGACAGAGAGATAGAGAGCACAAGTAGGCAGAGAGAGAGGGAGAAGCAGACTCTCCACTGAGCAGGGAGCCCAACGCGGGGCTCAATCCCAGGAACCTGGGATCATGACCTGAGCCGAAGGCAGCCGCTCAACCAACTGAGCCACCCAGGCACCCTGGAATTATGATTCTAAGTAATGAAAGAGTCAACAATGAGAAGGTGAGAAAGGCTCAAGGGCCAGGTCCCTTTGGGTGAAGAAGGCAGTCTGGAAATACCCTCTCATTTAAAGAGGACCCAAATATGTATCACTAAAGCTTTAAGTACATTATGTCTAATTTTCATAAAAACCCTGCAAACAATAGGAATTGAGACCCAAGAAATATCAAATAACTTGCTTAAAGCTAGAGTTAGAGGCTAAAGGCAAGGGAGTTTAATTAGAGATTTTATTGTCCCATGTTGCCTCAGATATAAAGCTCTTGGACAGCTATGAAAATTGAATAGATGTGCAGGAAAGATCTTAAAGCCTAAGCTCTATACAAAATGCTTCCCAAATTTATTGTGAATTATATTATAACAAATACATTAATAAAAAGTATTATGCCCTCTTAGTAATACCCAGTGTACAGTCATTTATTATTGTTTGTTATTTAACAAGTTATTTAAACACCACTTCTTGCCAGGTCAGAACTTCGGAAAGGTTAGTTAAGAAAAATTTTAAGATTATTTCTTCATTTGTAAAACGGGGATAAAAATAGAATAATTGTATTTACCTCTACCTCATAATGTTGTTATGAGGATTAGGTCAGAAAACCTATGAAACTCTTAGCTTACTTCCTGACACAGGAAATGTTCAATGTGCTCAATAACTGAAGACCATCATTATAGGGAAATGTGTATTCAAAATTTTTCTAACAGTTTCAGGAGGTTGCAGCTAATCACCAAGGGAGTTTTGCTGTTTTTTAAACTAAGCTCTATACCCAACATGGGGCTCAAACTCACAAGAGATCAGCAGTCACTCTACTGACTGAACCAGACAGGTGCCCCCACTGGAGTTCTTGATCCTAAAAAGTCCCCATTTTAAATGAATGAAGTGGAAAACTCTCAAACTACTGGTTGTAAGGGAAAGTCATGCCTAATATAACCTCCAGCTTTTATTTTTCTAAAGAAATGCATTCCTTTCCTAAGGCTCCAAGGAATTAAATGACTTATCCAAGGTCAACCTAATCAACAAAACACTGCTACTACATACCATCCACCAAGGCTGTGAAAATTTATTATGCAGAACTCTACTTATTTTGATGGAACTTTTACGAGTTGTAGGAAGATTTACTGAGTCTGTTGGGTTCTAACCCTTAAAAGAGAATACTTCTAAGAGCAAAACCATAAAAACAGTGCTGTCAGAAGGGGAAGATTATTTGCTAGTGATAGGGTACTGAAAGAGGGTTAGAGCTATTGATTTGCACAAAGGGGGCCAGTGGATTCTTTTGCCAACATAAACTTTTGATTAATATATATAAACTGTCAGATTTACTATTAAACAGATTGCCCTACCACTATTCAACACCTAAGGAGAGAACTAAAGCAGCTTAAAACAGTGGTAAGAGGTGTTTTTTAAAATGTTAATATGTCATGACTACTGTTAAGATGTCACTAGTAACACTGCAAATTCCTTGTTAGCTAAGATCTGGTTTGCCTGAAAGTGAGGGCTCAAGCAGAAATTAAGGTATGCATGAGTATGACAAGCTATTTTTTAGGACATTTTGTGAGGCTACTCCTATCTTAGCATAGCTAGACCTCATATTTGTGGTTGATTCAATGTTTGGAAACAAATGGCCATGAAAATAATACAAAGATCTGTTGGAACAAAAAATTGTGTATAGACATATATATGGCCACTGTTCAATAATGAAGATAGCTGATAACTCCCTAATAATTTTTAATAACCAATATTTTAAAATATCTTAACAATTGCATAGTACTTTAATTAGCTTGCTTATTTAATTTAGCCCAAGAGACGATGAAAAAACTATGACTAGACCTCAGGTCTAGATTTTAAGAGAATAGGGATCTTGGAACCAAATACCTTTTACTTGAAGTGTTTGTAGATTTTACTACTGAAAAATTCTGAAGATTGATTTACCTATGACTGATATTCAAAATCTTTGATATCTTAATATTTTAAAAATAACTTACACTGGAAAGCATATGTTGGTACTAAAAATACAGTGAATGTGTGGTTTAGGACTAGTGATTAGTTTACAGTATTGAATTTTGAATTGGTATGTAAAGAGATCACAAGATGAATAACATTAATTTCATTCTTAGAAGCATATAATTTGGGGTCTGAAAAGGACTGTAAAAAGAAACCTAGTATTTTTTTTTTTTTTAAGTAGTCTCCTTGCTGAGGGGCTTGAACTCCCAACCCTGAGATCAAGACCTGAACTGAGATCAAGAGCCAGACAGTCAACCAACTGAGACACCCAGGTGCCCCAAGAAATCTAGTATTACATGTGCATTTTGTAAATGTGGAAATGGAAGCCAGAGAGAATTAGGGGAAAATTAGGGGCAGGTTTTTTGGGTTGAACCAGCTCTTCTGACTCCTGGTTGAGTGACATCTCAAAGCCTTAAATTCAACTTTGAGATTTATGAAACATTTGCAGAGTACTGTGTGCCAAGTATAATGCTAAGAGAAATGCACTTTAGTTTGTGTCCTCAAGAAGCTAACAATGTAGTGAAAGATCTGTAAGCATCAATTATAGTAATGGCAGAACATTTGAATACAGGTATACATAATATAGTGGTGGCCATGGCTAAACCTGACAAAATTTTAAAGTTTAGTAATACCCAGTGTTAGCCATTATCTAGGAAAACAGATACACTCATACACTGTATGATATCCATCAAAACATTATTTTTTATTTTTTTTAAGATTTTATTTTTTATTTTTTTGGAGAGAGGGCAGGAGAAGGGGCAGAGGAAGAAAGTATCCTCAAGCAGACTCTGCAGAGCATGGAACCCAAAATGGGGCTTGATCTCAGGAGCCCAAGATCATGACCTAAGCTGAAATCAAGAGTTGGCCGCCCAACCGACTGAGCCACCTAGGTACCTAAAAACTTAATTTCTTAAAGATTTTACTTTTAAATAATCTCTACACCCAACATGGGGCTCAAACTCAATCCTGAGATCAAGAGTCCCATGCTCCACTGACTGAGCTAGCCAGGTGCCCCCCCCATCAAAATTTTAAATGCTCATTTTTTAGACCAAACAATTCCACTTCCAGGAATTTATCCTAAAGATTACCAGCATGAATTTGCAAAGACTTGAGTAGAATGTACATTCACATTGGTCATCAAATAAAACAAAAAATTTAAATGTCCGCCAATGGAGGACATAAAATAGTTTTGGTATAAAATATACAAATGTTTAAAAGCATGAGCTAGATCTCCACTTGCTGTTATGGAAAGAGCTCCAAGATACATTAAGAACATCAATTTTTTTTAAAGATTTTATTTATTTATTAGGGAGTGAGAGAGCACAAGCAGGGGAAGCAGCAGGCAGAAGGAGAGGGAGAGGAAGAAGCAGGCTCCCCGATGAGTGGGGAGCCCGATGCGGGGCTCAATCCCAGGACTTTGGGATCATGACCTGAGCCAAAGGCAGACACCCAACCAACTGAGTCATCCAGGAGTCCCCATTAAGAACATTAAGATGCAACAATATGTATCTGTATCTATATATATGTTTACCTATGTGTGAAAAGTATTTCAGCAGATACAAAAAAATATTGTGGTTACCTCTGGGTAGTTCAGCTAAATCGAGGATAAAGAAAAGGATTTTACAACTCTATCATTTGAACATTTGAGTTTTTACAGCAAGAATATTTTGCTTTTATAATTTTTAAACACATTGTTTAAATGAAGAATATGTAGCAAACCAAAATATATAAGTTAATGAAAACTAAAAATAGCAGGACACAAAATTCTGTGCATTTACATGTGGTAGGCAGCTTTTAAGATGGCCCGCATGATCCTTGCCAGCTGGGATTCACACCCTTATGTAATCCCCTCTCTTTGTGCGCTGGACTTACTGATTCATTTGTAAATCATTAGGGATGTCCCTGCTGGGTTTTAAGACTGGCTTCCATCTTGGGCACTCTCTGATTCTCTCCCTCTCAGGTCACCTGCCATGCTGTGAGGACACATAAGCAGCCTCTGAAAAGGACCA